AAACTTTACATCAAATTTGAAATAAGATGCAAGGCGCTTGTTTTGTTGACTACAGTTTTTGGTTTTGGTAAAATTGATACGTCTGACCTTGCTACTGCAGCAATGTTTTTAAAAGGAAAAATAAAGCAGCATTGAAGCACAGAATAAATAATAATCAGAATGTCCACTCTCAGGTGCCGCCTTTGAAGTTTGTCAGCACGCGAACGCCACGTTTTAGACGGAAACATAGACTCGAATTAAGAAATTTGTGACAAGCTATGACAGAACTGTAATATAAATTTTTAGAGATTAATAATTTAGTACATTTGAAATAATTTAATGCATTCTACAACTAAAAGTACGAATAAAATAGTGCATATGTCTGTAGTTGCAGTAAATAAATTAAACCGGGTTAATTTGTCTATGCACTCCAGATAAAAATGTTACGGAACAACAATGGTTCCCTTTAAAACATGGCTGATTCCGTCTGCGCGAACGAGGTGCGCGTACTATTTTTCTCAAACAGAGTGGGCATTCTGATTGTTTATTATTCTATGCTTGAAGCTTACCCATCGAACAAAAAGACAGAAGAGGGAATGTAAAGGTAGTGGGGGCAAACATGTTAGACCGTTAGACGGGAAGTGCCATTTTGAAATAGCCACATTAAACAAGGACAGAGAGTCTCTTTCCTTGTATAAGAAATCAAATTTACATTTATTCGAACATTCAATCATTCAACTTTATATCAAATCAAATTTAGTTGGGTTATGTTATTGTTTGTTCCAACTATCACATGAAAGATTATTTATATTGTTTTTTAGCAATTATGTCACATTTTAGACTATTATCGTTATTTAATTAAAATTTTATTACGCGCTTCCGTTAAAAAAATATTTTAATTGTTTGGAGCATAGTGCTTATAATAATATTGGAACATAGTCTTAAATTTGGCGCCTTTTCATTTCCGGATATGTCCGCCATATTAAAAGGCCACTTTTATGAATTTTGATCTCATTTTCATAACGATTAGATTCCCTCTTTTGTTTTTTTGCTCGATGAGCTTACCACTTTTTCTTAAAAATAACACTTGATATTAATTATCGTCTAATGTCTTGTGAACTTTAGCAGCATAAAATATATTGTTTTCAAATTTCACTAATACAAAACTTTTAAAGCAAATTTCTCTATTAGCATTAATACCATTATCGTCTTCCGACTGTAAATTTTCACATTCATCGCCAGAAGAATCATCATAATTGATTAGTTATTCACTCTCCCCCACTTCCTTTATTCTTTTTCTGTTTTCGTGCTGAGCTGCTTACCTTATTATTTTTATATCTTAATATATTTTTCTAATTTATCTTAATTTTTTTATTATTCGGAGAAGTTCCTGTAGGAATCCGAGTAGATATATATGAATCTACAATGGCTAGTCAGCATGCCGACCATCAGGGAATACCTCATTTTTTAAGCATTAGGCTTAGGTTTTAGAATGGACAAGCCCCATCTAGCAAAGATGGGCTCGTTCATTCCTCTCCACACTTTAGTGTCCTAGTACATAGATTAAATTGACCTGGTTAGTAAATATTGCAAGCCAGAACTAGCTTGTAGCCAACTCTAGGTACTTTCAGTGCCCTTACTCGGCTGTATGATTATCTAAGGGGATAGTGATGGTTGTGCTAAAGAAGCTAGTGTCTGCGATCTTCTGAGCATAGACTAATATCACGAAGATCTCTACTTTCAAATCTGATCCATAGGAAGAAAGAGTCCGACTTCACTGAATTTCAATATAATCCAAAGACGCCCATATACTCTTGTTTTTGTTATACCCACGCCTCACTTTCAAGAAAGTGAACTGAGAAGTATGATGAGAACACAAAATATTCTGCATCATGGAAAGCTGTATGAAATGACTCTGAATGTAACAATGACTTTCCGATGGCTCGCTCTCAGGACTACATTTGAATTATTCCATTGAACCCTATGTTCATTATCCCATGCGTGTTTACATATTTGAGATCTATCAAATTCTCTATTTTTAATATAAGATTGATGTTCACTTATTCACATTATTTTGCGCCCATACCATATTTCGCCCACACTATTTTTCGCCCACACCATTTTTCGCCCACACCGTTTTTCGTCCATACCATTTTGCGCCCACATTATTTTGCGCCCACACCATTGTTCGCCCACACCATTGTTCGCCCACACCATTTTGCGCCCACACCAGTTTTCGCCCACATTATTTTGAGCCCACACCATATTTCGCCCACACCATTGTTCGCCCACACCATTTTTCGCCCACACCAGTTTTCGCCCACATTATTTTGAGCCCACACCATTTTTCGCCCACACAATTTTGCGCCCACACCATTTTTCGCCCACATTATTTTGAGCCCACACCATTTTTCGCCCACACCAGTTTTCGCCCACATTATTTTGAGCCCACACCATTTTTCGCCCACACCGTTTTGCGCCCACACCTGTTTTCGCCCACACCATTTTGCGCCCACACCATTGTTCGCCCACACCATATTGCGCCCACACCATTTTGCGCCCACACCATTTTTCGAACACATCATTTTGCGCCCACACAATTTTGCGTCCACACAACTTTGCGTCCACACCATTTTGCGCCCACATCATTTTGCGCTCACACAATTTTGCGTCCACACAACTTTGCGTCCACACCATTTTGCGCTCACATCATTTCGCGCCGCACTTGGCTTGGGGCGCTTTCGGCAAACTAGCACATATCTTGAAAAACACCCCCATTCCTATAAACTTAAAGAAAAAGGTATATAACACATGCATACTACCAGTTTGTACCTACGGCTTGGAGACAGTAGCACTTACCAAAAAATCTGCCAAAAAATTAGAAACAACGCAAAGAGCAATGGAACGAATCATGCTTGGAATATCACTAAGAGACAAGATTAGAAACACCGAGATAAGACGTAGAACGAAGATTAGGGATATTGTGGAAGAAATTACAAAAATGAAATGGCGCTGGGCAGGTCACGTAGCCCGATATAATGAAAACAGGTGGACACGGAGAATTCTAGAATGGAGACCAAGAACGACAACAAGAAGCATGGGAAGACCTCAAAAAAGATGGGTAGATGACATAAGAGCAGTGGCAGGCAAACAGTGGATTAGATTGGTGCAAGATATAGAAAGATGGACGCAATTGGGAGAGACCTACATTCAGGAGTGGATGGAAAATGGTTGACAAAGAAGAGAAGAAGTATTAAACAAATGGTGTTTTATAAAGTTAAATATTGACTCAAAGAGTACTTTGTGAATTGTCTGGTTGTAGCATAACATAAAGATGATATATTTACATCTATTGGTAAACTTATTTCAAAAATAACAATTTTCGAGTTATCTATTTTTTTGAGGTGACGTATAATGTAAAAGTGGATTCAGTTAAATTGGCTGAAACTTTGCCAGAGACTTCGCTTCGGTCATGCTGATCAAAAGTTCTCAGTGCCATAAGACTTAAAAATCAATTGTTTTTGAGTTAAAGAGTGAACATCAATCTTATATTAAAAATAGAGAATTTGATGCAGAATTTGGTGCAGAAGTTTATCATCAGTTTTCCATTTTCGTTTTTGACATCCTCGTTATGTTTTTGCTTAATTCCGGGTATTACTTGATTGCCTATTCGAGCGTTAAAATCCCCCAATATTATCATCTTAATCTGACTTGTCTTACTACTTGTTGTAACTGGTCATAAAACGCTTCCCTTGTTGTGTGTGGCAATATATTCTTATTAAGCAGGAATTATATTCTTGTTAAAATTAATTACAATTATTTTCAATACTATAATTTAAGAGACAATAATTTTACCTAAACTTTACCTACCGTAATCAAATATTGAAGTTGATTTATTGTCCTGCTTTCCCAATAACCGTTAGTCCTTTTAGTGGACCTACTTCATGTTGAGTTGATGTTTTATTACGAACATGTCACTAAGAATGTTGCACGAATAATAATAATTACTGTCGTCTTTAGGTGATGAATTATCTTGACATTCTTAGAGTAAATACGTGTGAAGTATAATCAAACATGTTTGCATATATAAAAATATATTACTTGTTTGGCAAAATTGACGTTGAGACTTTAAATTGTCCAGAAGAGTAAAAATAAAAACTTTTTAATTAAATCCAGATTGCAATTTTAAGTCAAAACTGATTCTTGGGACACATATACTTGCTTTTTTGCTGTGCTTTAAATTTAAAGAAACAATTAAGATTCCATAATAAACAAAACCCCCACAACTACTACTACTACTATCTGCATCAATTTAGCCCTTAGGTATAGTTAGTTGTAGAGGCGGAAGGCTCAATATCTGGGGCAGTTCTTACGATTCCTGTAATGACAACTAATGTGAAGTGAACCACCAGTGCCTTGCCTAAATCAGCGGCACCATGTTCTACTACCAATCTAGGATTTTGTAAGGAGACTTTAATCTCAATTAAATTGGTGATTTATGAACTTTAATTTGAAAGACTAGGTAAAGAACATTTTCTGTTTGTATTGAAGAAATAAGAGACTTCAACACAAATTAAATATTTGTTGTCTATTATATTTTTTGTTCTGACTTGTCGATAGTAATTTTAAATTTCTTACTAAACCTTACTGAGTTACCGAGTCACTAAAAGGTAGTAGAAGAATAGCCGTTCGTTATATCAAATGTTATTCTTCATACAGTCCGTTACTTATTTATTCTTGTTTCTCTTCTATAAATATAATTATTTTTTATAAGAGCGTGAATTATTGTTTATGTAAGTCTTGTAACGGTTTTTGTAAATTATAATAATTTTCCGTACTCATCTTATCTTTTAAAATTGTTACAATTTAGGTCAATAAAACACATCTAAAAGATAAAAAATTTAATAACATTGTATCACAAATATTTCTTTTCACTTATAAAGTGTTTCGGAGTTCATGTATATTTGAACTAAATGCAAAATGTGTTTGGTCCATTCCAATAGAGTCTGTGTGAAGGTTCGTCAACCCAACAAGACTTTCTTCATCATGTAGGATCTCGACGGTCTATCGATACTTTCATCTTTCCATTCTCTTACAGAGGCAGTATTGGCACATTTGGAAGAACACAAATATTGGAGCAGTGGGATTCTGTACTTTCCACAAAAGTCTACGAACTTGATATGTTCCACACGGTTGTCGAAGTATACACCTTCAACAAAATGAATTTTAGTATAAAAATTCCAACGTACAGTTTTTAACAAAATTTACTCGGCTAATATAACAACTTAGTGATTATTATTTTGTTTATCGGTCTTAATCGACGAAAAGAAAACAAAAATGGTGGTGATTTACATAGAAATAAATATTCCTAACATGTTCCGATAATAGCTTGGGTTTACAGTTTATTTTAAAATCGATATTGACTACATTTCTCTTCGTAAGAAGTCTCTAATTGTACACTTGCTAACTAGCAGGTGCGTATCTATCCGTCTTCTCCCAAGTCTTCCTGAAGGAAGGTAAACCTTAAAACACGTGTAGAAGTATGGTGAGAGACTTAAATTGAATCAAAGCGCACCATCTATATTTATTTTAATTATTCAATAGTTACATAACATTTTATTTTAATATGATAGTAGCTATGACCAGCGAGTGAAAAGTGACAGAAAGATTGCAATAACATTGAAAAGAAAATTATATATGTAAGACCAACTATGACATATGATACTAATCTTGCGCATTTAATCGCAACATTAGTACGCGGTTACATATCCATCTAAGAATGTATTTATACCGGGGAGAAGAAATTATTCAGTTCTCATGAGTCGAAAGTTCAATCACACAGGAAATCGTTCATAAAATGTGTGATAAGGTTTTGTATCTATGGTATAAAGGAATTGAAGATACAAATCCTTTTTAAAGAATATAACCGGAATATATTGGTCATATTTTGAACCAGGAATGGCATAGCGTGGACGTCGCATAAGCTCATTGTGTATCACAAATAAATTAATTCACTTGATATTTTTCAGAAAAAGCTTGCACTATTTAAATATAAACCAAAATGACATTTTACTTCGATACGTTACAATGAATTTAACATATATTCACCGCTGTACACTCTAAACCAAAAAGCCATCTAGGCAGTGAACGAAAACTGTCTGGAAAAGATGATGCCGTCGATGTTTGCGGTGTAAATAATGTTAGGTCGTGATTGTATCTTGAAAAAAGTAAACTTATAACTGCGTATCGGGTAATACACTCATAAATGACGCAAGCATTTGTAAAAACAGACCCGGCATAAGGAAAACAAACCTTTTTACGAGGACAATGCACCAATCCACAAAGGCAACGGAGGAGATTGAGAGATCTGCACTGTAAGGTACTGGAACAGCCATCCTATTCCCCAGATTTGATACCCTGAGACATTTATGCTCAAAATTTAAGACTTTCCTCTCACTCGTAGTACCACCTTTCGTTGTTGTGTAAACCATTGTGACTGTAAATGAATACTTTGTAGTTCTTTCATAGAGAGAATAACGGCATTGGACGTCGTTGCATGAAATGTATTGATCTTCTTCTTCTTGTATGTGGGCTTTAAAGCCTGTTTCTTCTTCAATATTAGCCTCCTAAATTTTTTAAATTGTCGCACTATTTTTTTCTTGGTCTGTCAATACTTCTTCCTCCATTTGGTGAGTTATCTCGTGCTATTCGTACTATTCTATCCTCTGCTCCTGTTTTCGTTTTGTCACGTATCAATTTATGTCTTCTATATTGCATGCTCTTCTTATGCTTTTGCTTCTCTCCCTATCCAACAGACTTTTCCTTGATATTCGTCGGATTATTTTCATCTCTGTTGTTTCTAGTAGACGTCTCTTGTCTCCGTCGTGTATGTTAATATAGGTCTAATTGCTGCTTTATAGATTCTTGTTTTTGTGTCTTTTCTTAGGTGTTTGTTCTTCCAGATTGTGTCATTAAGAGATCCCACCGCTTTACTTGCTTTTAAGCTTTGTTGTCGTACTTCTTTTAACATCTCCGTAACTAGTTCTATCTATTCTCAGATATCTAAACCTTGCTTCCTGTTTTATTATTTTCCCATCAATTTCGATTATATATCGTAATGGGTGTTTAGAAGTTGTCATACATTTGGTTTTTTTCTGCTGATATTATATTGTATTTCTTGACTGTTGTGTTGAGGATGTGTGTTAATCTTTGGAAAAATAACACTTGTTTGAAATCATAAATTGTGATTTTTATCTGGTGAATAACTGTTCATACTAGCCTCGTAAATAGAGTGTAAATTAAAAAAGAGCACTTGCTTTACAGTCATATATTCCGCTAAAATTATTTTGCATCAAGTAGCAGTTGATTCTACAGATAATAAATACAAACATTAAAATTATGACAACACAATAGACATACGACATAAACGGGAAGAGGTCTAGACGGGGTGAACGACTTAATATAATTAGTTTGTAATCTTTTGTCCTAAATACGTTCTTATATAATAAACTTTTGATGTGTCATGTTCCATATGATTGTATTTAAGTGTATGAGACTTAAATATAATCTTATCTACACACTTCAAATTTTAAAAATGTTAAAATATATTATGTCATTATTTACCTTTGCAATGTGGATTAACACAATGATGACCAGAGTTTATATAATTAAACAGTGTGACAGGTATATCTCCTGGTTCATATGCAATATTATACAATTTGATAGCTCTTGCCGACAGTTCTAACAAACTTGAAGGACTGTGACTCATCTCACTGACGAATCTTATAATTAGTGGGTTATCACGCAGACTTAACTGAAAATAAACAAAAAATAAGTATTTGGTATTACATTGGATATCAAACTAAATGCAGTAAACATATTAATAACTACAAAATTAAATAAGAAGAAAAGTTGCAAATATGCTTAAAATAGTAAATCGATTTCAATGGGCAGCTGATTCTACAATTAACATAATATTTTTTTTGTACTAGACTTCTAAGGTACGGTTCTGACAACGATTGGAGATGGCAGACAGCAACTGCAATTAGCAGTTGAAGTTGCAGCCGTGGCAGACGTCATTACTTTGCAGTATTAATTAGTATAATACTGATTCCGACATCTGACTGCAAATGCTGTCCGGCAGACCGTCAGTTGCTGTGCTGCCCGATGGTAGACGGCACACTTGAACAAACACAGGCCGTTAGTGCCGTCGTGAAGTTGGACCACATGGAAGTATTGACAAACCAAGAAAGTGATTATTTTATTGATCTAATGTCTAAATATATGTTTATATATATATATATATATATATATATATATATATATATATATATAATCAAAAACCTTTCTATCATATTCAAAGAAAATGTTTGGAAGGAGATTTGGCCCTTTTCGCAATCCTACGCCATATTTTTAAGGAATACAAAAGGTTATCCTAAAATCGAATAGAAAACAGCCGACTAGAACTCATATAGTAACAAGCTGGGTTCAGACCAGGTGAATTATGCTCGTTATAGAGAACTGTTAAAAAGCTGTATGATACTCTCGAAGATTACCATCTGTTAAAAAATGTCAAGTTCTTGCGGAAAGATAGGCGATTGATTCTATGTTATGCTAGAGAATAAATGAGCCGAAAGAGAAGACAAATAATGGCTCTGCTCATGGTAGCGTCATGGCTCCTCATCCTCAAACAATATATACACAATACGACATGGCCATCACTGCTTAAAACGAGGAGCCTTTAAGCAAGTGGGAGAGAAACTGGAACCTTGATACCTTGCTGAACTAATACCGCAACAATTCACTTAAATCGAACCCAGCAAGTAATCTCCTTCCATCTACTTACTCGCAAAAAAAAACAGGAGACTTATAAGACCGATAGGATGGTGTCACAAGTGTCCAAGTGTCAAACTACTGGCAGGTCGCTGGGAAAAAGTCAGAGGGTGGCAGCTAGAAACAATATCATCAGAAAACTCACCAATAGCAACTAAGAGGTCAAACAGACCGTCTTGGGAACCACTGCTCATGCGCTATGCTATTCTACGCCTGCCCGGTCTGGTGCAGATTAACCCATGTCAAAACAGGTCATTATGAACGAAACATTCAAACTAACGTCAGGCTGTAAGAAGTCAACTCCAATAGAAACATTCTACCAGGCGATGGATTTTACTAGCCCCTACTCTCGCAGAAAAGAACATCAATTCATGGAACACTGATAAACACAGACAATTGGAGTTGAAAAGAATTTAAAACAAAAGTATTAAATACAGCAACAAAGACAATAGGTAAGCAAAAATAAAAAAAATAAAAGATGAAATGAGGTTGAATGCTCGAATAAATGAACTTTGAAAATAAGGCTATTATCGAGCACAAGTTAATTAAAAAAAGTACTTGGGCTAGATTTAATTAACTTGTGCTCGATAATAGCCTTATTTTCAAAAAAAAATAAAAGAGTTGAATGATACAATGAGGAATATAAATAGAATAAAAATGAAGAATATACAACAAAGAAATAAACTACACTACTAGAGACTAGAGAAAGAACAACTTTTAAAGAAGTACGATGGAGAATGGATAAAATATACAGAATAGAAAAAAAGAAAATTGAAACAAGATAAAATATAAAAAATGGAATAGAATCTTCAAAGTAACGATCTAAGGGAATCGTAAAATGTCTTCAAAATTAAGAAATTAAAAACTCCAAATAAGTTTATATGGAGACCAAGTAGTAGAAGTAGAAGAAGAACTAACTCACCCTATTAAGGCTTATCCTCGAAAATTCTAACGGTAAATTTCAGTTTGCTATCTCTATTTCAAAAATTTCTTTCTTTACGAAAACAAAATCTGTTCATGAAGTAATATTCTAAACTTCGTTTAGATCTCTTTCAAGCCCAGGTCAAAAATGCGTTTACCGTTTACTCGAGCCGATTATACACCGTGACAACCCCTGCAGTGACAGGTTTTGACTTACAATAAGACCATAAATCTCTTTAGTGGTATTTTGAGTAAATATAATAACAGATCAAAGTAATATAATCTATTCACAAATTTACAATGTAACAAATGTACATACATAATTTATTTGTTATTTTTTTTACGGAAAAATTGGCTGTCTGAAGTTTAATGTAGATTAAAGTTTACGGAAAATAAAAATTATAAAAAAAACATTATTATTATATATCATAAAAATTTGATTAGTATCACGATCATTAAAATTGATAAAATGAAACGATATAAATATAGAATTATGTCTAATGTTTCTTCAGAAGGTGTTTCAAATAAAAATTATAATAAAAATCTTATCTAATTAGTATCACGATCATTAAAATTGATAAAATGAAACTATATGAATATAGAATTATATCTAATGTTTTTTCAGAAGGTGTTTCAAATAAAAATTATAATAATGTAAATGTAAATGTTATAATAATATATGTAAATATACTCTTAGATCTAGAGAAAATGGGAGTGCGACAATGGGAATTACTGGCACAGGAACGACAAACATGGAAGGCAATAGTAACCGCGGCAAAGACTTACGAAGAGTTGTAGCGCCATTGATGATGATGATGATGATGATGAAATATACTGTATAACTATTTATATGGATGTGAAATATGGATCATGAAGGATAATATGATGGACATTTTGACATTTTAGGATGTACGTTGAAAAATTAAGGCAAATATCGAGCACAAATTTAATAATCAAATCTTGCCCAAGTACTTTCGCTTTCTACAGCATCATCAGGGGAATCTGAAATAAGCCAAGAAAAGTTTTTTTAAATGATAAAAAACTCGAAGTTAATGGATGATAAAAGTTTTTTGTGATTAACATTTTAGACTTACTTCGTCAAATTTGGTCTATCCAGCAAGCGCACATGCCCCTGATGATGCCGTAGAAAGCGAAAGTACTTGGGCAAGATTTGATTATTAAATTTGTGCTCGAAATTTGCCTTCATTTTTTAAAGTTCATTTATTCGAGCATTCAACCTTATATCAATAATTTAGGATGTGACTCAGGTATATGATAAAGTATGGCAAAGACGCCATAACTATAAACTAAGACTACATTTACCAAAACGATACTCTCAAATAATTGACTCCTCCATCTTGGAAAGATATTTCAGAATTAAACAGAAAGAAACATACATGGAATTGACAGATATTACAGCAGGGCTGCCACAAAGAAGTGTCTTTACCTTTTGTATACGTGTTATATTATTGTCCTAGAAAATATACAATTGCAACATTTACCGAAGATATTGCTATCATAGCAATATGCAAAACCAGCGAGGAAGCGACAAAGAAATTAAACAGATGTTAATCAAATATATACTCCAGGGAAATAAGCAAAAAATAGACCATGTTCGTGACACTCAATAATCCAGGTCGCTGACAACTTTTTTAGTTAGTAATAAAAAAAAATAGAGTTTTGGAAGAAAATTGTTTTGCACGAATTGTTTAAACAAACTAGACTATTTATTAATTAATTAATATATAAACAAATTACTAATTCCTAATGTACGTAGAAATTACATACAAATTAAAAATAGATCATACAAAATAAAAAAATAAGAATGATCAAAATCCATTGACTAGATCCGGAGATATAGAAAATTTTATTAGTTTGAAATTGCTTGGTCGGTTTGGATTTGTAGGTTCTTCCTAGTCACCATTTGAACTACATTTTTGAAAATTCGTAGAGGGTCCTGTATAGGTACAATGTTTGTGCAAATTTTTTAACAAAAAATACAAATCATATTCCTTAACATGGCAAAAAATGAGGTTCCTTATTTATTATAATCAAATTAGCTGTGAATTATCATCTTTTCTTTGACTTGATCTACTACTTGTTGTAATTGGTCGTAAAACACTTCCCTTGTTGTTTGAGGCTTATTATTTTCTAGGCCGTATACTCCGATAATGTTCAGGTTTTCCTTCTCCATTCTTATCTTTGATGTTACTATTGTTTCTGATATGTATTGACACTCTTTGATGTAATTTTGATACCTTTGGTGTATTAGTAAGGCTACACCTTCTTTGGCCCTGTTTTCTTTTGCTACTCCACTGTAGATGAGTATGTATTCACCTAATTTTGATTGACCTTTTCCTTTATTTTTTGTTTGTTGTAGAGCACAAATGTCCATATCTTTCTCTTTCAACACTTGGGTTATTTCTTGGTCCCTTGAGTTGAGTGATCTGATATTCCAAGTAATTCTCATCTGGGTTTTGGATGTTTTTCGCTTGTCCTTATTTCTTGCCGTAGTCGTCTTCATAGTATCAATCCGGTTCCGAGACTGTACATTGTTTCTTTGAGCAGTATTTGATTTTACGATTGGTAGGTTGCTAACCAATAAATATAAATAATTAAATTGTGTGGAAGACTCATTTACAAGCTCTGTTAGGAACAGAATAAAATAACCATTCTCTTCTTAGGAACAGAATAAAGAACAACAACGTGCTGAGATTCATCTAGCGTTACACATGCATGCACTCATAACTAAGATATAGAACAAAGTTGACCTTCAGTCTTTGTATATTTTTAAAAATATCTCGATGTTTTTGCCAATGCCAGACATTACGTGATAGTCAAGTATCCTGTGAGCTATATTTTCCAAATTATCTTGAACAGTAACCTGGAAATATCACTATAAAAAATGGTAGAGCTCAGATAGGAACCCGGTTATTCAATAGACAGGTGGCAAGTTTTCACTAAACAAGTGTAGAGGTCAGATATCAACATGAATCCGGTTGATAAATAAAAAGATTACACGTGGCAAGTTAAGTTTTGTTTTTTAAGTTTAATAAGTTAATTGCTTTCGCTAAATAACCTCTATCAATGATTCATATTATAAAAAATATAAATGAAAGAAAAATAATATTACTATTTATATTTATCTGTATTTATACTTACCTCGGAGAGATTTTTTAATGCCACGATTTCCGGAGGCAGCGTCCTTAATTTGTTTTTGTGCAGAAGTAAGGTCTTCAGTTTGTGTAAATTGGCTATATTTGCTGGCAGACTTTCGATATTGTTATCACATAATACTAAGGCTTGCAAATGTTGCAAAAGGCCAATGGCCGCAGGGACTTCTGTGAGCTTATTTCCTCCAAAGGATACCATCTGCAAACTAAAAAAAAATATTAGTTCTAAAAAGTCTGAGCTTTTATTTCAGCTCAAGGCAATTATTCAGAGCAGCTGCCTCGAAGGTCAGAATAGCCATGATGATTGCCAACCTTCGTCATACGATAGGCAAGACATACAAAATTAGTGTTGACTTGCTTTCGTACGCAGAATGTATTTCCTGTGATACCCATCTCCTCTTCATCGAGAAGGCATTATTCTCAAATAATTCAAAGGGTATTTCTACCTTGAAGTTAAATGCTAATATTGGGGCGAAAAATATTGGTTTGCTAAATATATTTCAAAGTTCAAAATAAAATAATTAAAATAATTCGACTAATAAACTACAAAAGATATTTCAAAGAAGTGAAAGTCCATTATCTTTGGATTACCTGTATTAAACAAAATTTAAGATATGCATAAATTATTTTCTTTGTAAAATATATTCGAGTGAAATTAGTGAAACCAGGGACAATGTAAGCGGGTTTTCCAAATGGACTTGTACAGTAATTAGGACGATATAATAGATGTTTAGAAATATATTTCTCTGTTAGTTCTTAAGAATTTGTAGAAACCGATTAACCGATATTAATAGTTTTTAGGAAATTTATAATTGTAGGTAAAATTATTGTTTGTTGTCTAAATGAAGAGATGGCGAATTGTGGCGAGCTTTGATTGGAGGAGATTGAAAAAGGTGGGATGGTTTGTAAGAATGAGACTTTAGCTAGTTTTTTGAGGGAAGAAAGTTGGGCAGTTGGTTTCCAAGGGTGCAAGGCGAACGGCCGTTGTTCTCGGGTAGTTCCCCAGAGGTAGGAAGCAGTCGAAGTGAATGTTTGTGAGTTTTCGTGGAGTTAGTGTGTATCTGACAGAAGCTGATCCAGTAAAATATTGTAAGTTATATTTTCTACTTATATTCCAAGAGTCACTGTTCAGGCTAGAACGAGAGATTCAGTTTATCGTGAGGAGAAGATATTCCAAGAGTCACTGTTCAGGCTAGAACGAGAGATTCAGTTTATCGAGAGGAGAAGAGGCTAGCATAATTTGAACGATACGTGCATTTGAAGGAGATCATTAAAGACGATAGACTTGCAACAATTTGTTGTAAGATTGCTGATTACCTAGGGGACTGCCAAGAATAGATAGTATAGGCTACAAGGAACAAGGATTTGGACAACTCATCATCAGAGAGAGATAGTTTTGCTATTCATCAGTTTTCTTTATTAACAACACAATTTTTACAATTGCTTTAGAAAAGATAGGAATATTTTGATTAGAAGATTTAGAACAACAATTTTGATTTGCGATTTTAATTTATATTGTTTGTACCATTCATTTTGAAGGTTCACGTACGTAGAACAAAAGTTTGATAATCATTATATGAGATATTGTTTATTGAAGATATTTGAGTGTGAATTTTATTTCAATATATTTTTATTTCAATATATAATGTTATATCATATATGTTTTTTATTATTCCGGTATTCTTTGGGCCTTACCTCTCACATGTAAAGCATAGATATTGAAGCACGAGTATAACCCTGAGATAAGAGAATTAAATAGTGTGATAGAATCATAATCATATCATTTAAATAAGTTTAGTTAATTAATTGACTTGAAGGGAAAAATTAGCTACAAGTAGCGTACAATAAAAAACAATGGAAAGGAAGACTTGAAGAGGCTTATGTTCAGATGTGGACGTGAATGGCTAGACAAAGAAGAAGAAGAAGTTAATTAATTAATTAGCTAATTATTTGCTTGGCGCACGTAAGACTTTGAATATCACATTAGTATATATAGTTGACAAAACTAGACAAATTAGAAATCTATAGCATATTTGATAAGATGCATTTCATAATATTAAACAACAGAGAGAAAAAAGATAGTATATATTTATTTAATGTAGCAATATTATATTTGGCAAATCTAGCAAAAATAGTAGTTTGTTGCAAAAATGAAGTTACGTGATTACTTAACCCAAAATGACGCTGCTAATTTTTAAAACTGACAATTTATCATGTTAAGATACGGTTTAAGAATTCTTTTAAAAAGAGGTTGCGAGGTTATCTAAAAATCGACCACAGATTTCTCATAATCACTCGCTCTTTTCGTTGTTAAATATTTAAAATATTTATGCTAGTAAGTACAAAAGTCTTTGCCTTTAATTCGCGCAATCTCCTTATCAGTAATATATAATCGTTAACCAAAATATTTATAATTTTTATTTATTTATTTTTATAGTTAAAAATGAAAAACTATAGATTTTAGATTCATGGGAAAAATAATATAACAAAACGTTGGACGGAACACTGCGCAATAATAAGAAAAGAAGAAGCAGGCAATCAGATATATCATTAACAATAGAACTAGTAAAGTAAGATTTTTTTTCTTCGAAAATTCACCGAATTTCTTTCTCAAAAGCAAAAAAAATCAACAGTTATATTGTACTTATCTATTTGAATATTCATTTACGATCTGTGATTATGACGTGTTTGTCTCGTCATTGTTTTCAAATATAACGAACTTTATATGTATTTTATGAACAAATAAAGTAAATACAATAATTGTCAAGAAGACAAAGCATGGGAAAAACCTAAACAAATAAATAAAAACTCTAATTGATGACAGTTGTGATTAATCTACTATCAATTTTTTAACCCAGAAACATTCGATAATAAAGTTCACTAGGCTCTCATATTATGGCGACTTCGGAATTTATTAGTGTTCTTTGATTGAGTGTAATATATTTACATCTAGTCAATGTGAGTTTGGAGTAAATGTTGTTTTATGATAAAGTTATTGTCATGCGAATTTTATAGAAAACAAAATATGTGTACTTCATGATATGCCCTATTTAAACTTAAAAAGCAAAACAGTTAGACTAATATTTACAATTTTAAAAATGAAAATATTCCTTTTTATTTTTTGTCTGTTATTATTCTTTGTACCTATCTTGTTTTTTTAATCAACATTAGTTGATTAGTTTGATCAGATTGTCATCCTAATGTTTGTTTTAAATCTGAGTTTACTCTTCCGACCTATTAATGATGAGAGTTGACTTCCAAGTATATTAGCTTTCTGGACCGTTTGTTTCACGTATTCAGTGAAAGTCAGCTTTTTGTCCAACAAACAGACAAAAATATAGACATATGTGCACCACAAGAGACGAAGGAAAAAGAAAAGGGTCAAATTATGCTAGATGACTATCTGGTGATTTACAGTAGTGGTGTTGTAAAAGAAACCAGAGCCAAAGAAGGAGTTGCCCTGTTAGTACACAAAATTTTTTTTACCAAGTACAATCATCATTGGTGCTACAGTCCTATAAAAGGGCCTCGACCTTCCCAAATCTATTACGCCTGACAGTTCTATCTATTGCCAACTGTTGCCAATTTGCTGCGCCTACGCCCATTTTTCTATTATCCTCATCTACACCATCCCTACATCTGAGTTTTGGCCTACCCCTACATCTACTTCCCACAGGTTGTGACATAAGGATTCTTCTAGAAGGGTTGTTCTGCTGTGATCTTGCCAGATGTCCTGCCCATCTTAGGGCGAGCGCCCACCAAAGTGGCGTGGCAAGTAGCACGTAGCAAGTAGCACGCGTCTAGCATGTTTTTTAAAATGTAACCAATGAAAACGAATGATTAGAATGAATGACGTCACTGTCATTTTGGTGTACGCTGAATCATTCGTTTTCATTGGTTACATTTTAAGAAACATGCTAGACTCGTGCTACTTGCCACTTGCTACGTGCCACGCCACTTTGGTGGGCGCTCTCACTTAGTCTTCCTATTTTTATAAGAGATACTATGTCTTTACCACCAAATATATGTTTATATCTGTGATATATCTCGTAGTTGTACCTCCTCCAAACACCATTTTCATAGATGGCACCGAATATTCTTCTCAGGATCCTTCGTTCAAATATAAACAGGAAATTTTCATCTGCCTTGGAAATGGTCCATGTTTCCGATCCATATATCAACACTGGTTGTATACGGTTATTTACGTTTTTTGGCTTAAGTTTCTGCTTTTCATATGTCTACTCAATCCAAAATATCATTTGTTTGCTAGGATTATTCTTCGCTTGATTTCTTCCTTCATGACGTTCTCCTTGGTGATCAGGGAGCCTAAGCATGTGAATTTATCCACCACTTCAAAGGTAGAGTTATCAACCTTAAATTGGTGGCCAATGTTTCTGGCTCTATTGTTGGGTGTTGATGCCATCATCTAAGTTTTCTCCTCTTTTACTTGCAGGCCCATATTTTTTGAGGCATTTACAAGATGGTATACATTTCTTCTAGCTTCTATGCTGTGCGGGCAAGTAGGTCAACATCATCTACATATGCCAAAATTTGAGATGATTTATTAAAAATGTTTCCTCTGTTGTCTATTGGGGCATCCCTGACCGCCTTTTCCAGAGCTATGTTGAAAAAGAGACACGCCAGCGCATCTCCCTGTCCCAACATGTGTTTCAAATGTCTGTGTGATTGTTTGCCCTATATTTCGACTTTGCAAACAACTTTACACATTGTAAAAACTAAACAAGATGTCAAACCTCTAAATGTGATAGCAATCTATGCAGCACCAGAGAACAACAGAGATACCACCACAAGGGAAAACTTCTACGAATACCTTAAGACTATAATAAACAAGACCCCAAATGATGAATATATAATCATGACGGCTGACTTTAACACCCATGTTGGCAATGATATAGTTCCAGGAATAAAACAGCGATATAACGAAAATATCAGAAATGAAAACGGAGACCTTCTGATGGACCTCTGAAGCATAAACGAGATACATATTAATAATACATTTTTCCCTCACAAAGAACAATACAAATACACTTTTGAAAACAGTAGAGGACAAAGATCTATGATAGACTATATTCTATCTATAGAGAATAGAGAATAGCCCTCTCAAATCTTGGATGTAAGAGCACTAACATCAGCAGAAATAGGAAGCCATCATAAATTGGTATTGTGCAAAAAAATATGGCAACACTGTGACGCGGTGCCTGGAGGAAAATATATTTGGTTATGTTGGCTGCTCTAAACTAATCATTGTCCTATGTTTTATATTAGTCTTATTATTGATACAATTTGATCTTTTTCGATGTGAATCATCTCCAAAATACATTTTTTGTTGCAGTTCTGTACTTTCTCCACAATCTGTACATTTTCAAAATCAAAAGAATGGCTATTTTCTAGACAATGCTTTGCTAAGGCTACACAAGCATATTGTACAGGGTTTACACATTTATTGATTGTTCAGACATCAAAGTTCTTTCAAGATATTTTTTCGTATACCACTTCTTCCTCTGGGTTTGTAATTTGTTGTAGCATTTATTTAGTTACAGGAGAACTCACAAATTAAAATGGTATCAAAATATGTATCCCTCCATGTTACAAGGCTGCAACCAGGGACAAAGCCTGACCAGCTTAAGCCATATTTACAACCCAACTTTTCTGATGTAAGCTGTAAAGAGCATGAGTCTAGACATCCAAGTCTATTCTCATCAATAAAGGTTACAATCTGCCAAGAAGACCTTAGCGAGAAGTGTGGCCCAAGCGGTACATTGGTGCCCCATTTTTTTCAAAAGTGAAGGGTGCCACAAATTCACACGAACCCTCAGAAAGTGGAGCAGGTAATAGCTCCAATAGAAACCTAAAGTTTTATTGTCAAAATGCCAGAGGATTGAGGACGAAGTTCCACGATTTTTTTGTGCGAAGAGTAGTACATATTTAGCTTTTGTTTAACATATTTATTCCTTTGTTTATCAATTCTTGTAATACTTTTCTAAGATTCTAATGGATTCTAGTGTTATCACTTTACTTGCCCCAAAAAAATATGTTAAAAAGATAGAATGCCACATCTAGATTAGAAAGATTTATTGCTGTTATTTATTACCAAAAAGCCAATTTAAGAAGAAAAATAATAGGCTACAGTTGTATGCTAAAATGAAATATATTACATAGCTGCAAATTAAACAAGGTAGCTTAAACATAAAGTCCTCAAATATATGGTAGCTAAACTGGAATACATATACCCACAAAACAATTCAATCTACAGTTCTGGTAACAGCAGCATGATTTTAAAGTTAAACCAATCATTAACGATTTAAACACAATACCATATAAAAATAAAATATATGCACTTACTTTTGTAACTTCCAAATGTTTTTGGATATCTCGACCATTCCATTTCCCCCAAGATATAAAAATTTTAATCCAATGAAATCCAGGATTTGTTCTGGAAAATGGCATAGATGGTTTCCACTTAGATTAAGCTCAATTAAAGATAGGCACTTTTCAAAACTCTTTGGTATAGAATTACAGGTTAGTAAATTATTTTTGGCAGTAAAACTGGTCAATGGAAGGTATTTAAATACATCTGGCAAGGTAGTAATACCATTATTGCTTATATCCAATACTCTTGTATTAGAAAACTTGTATACAGAGTCAGGCAGTGTAATAAGTTGATTGTGATGTAGTATTAACTTTTCAACTAATGCAAATGATTTCTTTTCATCAAAATATTTCTCTAATTTATCTTCTGTCTCTTCAGGTTTGAGCAGTAGGTATGCATAATCAATTACTTTAACACTATTTTCACTGTCACTACTGTCAGATGTATAATTTTCCATTATTTGATCTAACTACCAACACAGCTGGTGGACATCAAAACACTGCTGCTTCCACTAGGTGTTTAGCTATCAACTCTAAAAAGATAAATGTTAAATTATATATCTGAGGTCACAATGTTATCATCAATGTTATACCATGTCATCCTAAATTGCTGTCGGCTTTGTTATTATTAATTAAAGATAAATGGACGATCACTTGTTCTATTTAAAAACACATTGCCATGAATATTCGAAATAATATACCTTTGGAGCTTTAAATAACAGTGTCAGAACTTATACATTGATTTTAAAAAAACAGATGGTGCTAATTTGCTAAACGTCGCAATTTCTTTTATTCCAAATTTATTTGTACTCTCTGGCCTTAACCTATAATCGCAAAAATGTTATCGTTGTTGCGTATTTATATATTTTAATCTTTTAATCATCAATTTTTAGCTGATGTTCTAGATAACCTTCAGGTTTAAATTTTAAATTGCGATTTACATATTTATTTGCTATATTTACATTTTTATAATCAATTCTTAGTCATATCACGTGCTGTAATTTCTGATTGTGTTTTTACAGTCCGGAAATTTACATAATAAAGTTTAATGACTTGTCCCCAAATCGTATACATTTATAGGACCAATGCGATGAGAAAATAAACATTATTTATGCTCATTTATTAGAAAATATATACTTAATAGTGATACTTCATGATTCTTTTAGGAAAAACCGCCTTCCTTTTAGTATTAATAGATTTTTTTCTGAAAAATGGCTTTGGCAGAGCCAATTAGCTAGACTTGTTTTTGTTTGTATTGAAAGTCGACTGAATTTTATTATTATTGATTGCAGTTTCATAGTCAAAGATAAAATTATCAGAATTTAAAATTTGCGCCATTTTTTCGCCCATTAATAAATATGGTCAAATTATGCATCTACTATCTACATTATTTAGTACAGTCAAAAAAAGTCAATGTAGTCACAGTCACAGATAAATTAAACCTAGATTGGTAACAAGAATACTCAAGATCAACGAACGTTTACATTTGGCACCCTTCTGTTTGGTGGCACTGCTACTCTCGTTCCTTCGCGTTGTTCGTTGTCACTTTATTTCCAAAGCACACACCCACCTAGCAGTGCCAGTCCTATGTTAAAGAGTACAACGACGATTGGCGTATCACCTAGTGCCAGGGTGCGTAACTATATAAATACGTGGCGCGTTGTTCGTTGTCACTTTATGTCCAAAACACACTCCCACCCATCGAGCAATAAGACAAAAGAGGGAATCTAATCGTTATAAAAAGGAGACCAAAAAAGTGGCCTCTGATGGCGGACACATCCGGAAATGCAAAGGCGCCAAATTTAAATTTTTCGACACTTATCAACAGTAGCTATATAATATTTTTCAAAATGTGTCTTAGACGAGAAAGTTTTAATTAATTATTAATGATAAGAGTCTAAAATGCGACACAATTGTTAAAAAACTTCAATATAAATAAGATTTTATGTGACATTTGGACAAACAATAACATAACCCAACTAAATTGATGTCAAACAAGGAGAGAGACTCTCTATCCTTGTCTAAAGTGGCCTCTCAAGATGGCACTTCCTGTCTATCAATATGTTTACCCCCTTCTACCTTTACATTCCCTCTTTTGTCTTATTGCTCGATGCTCCCACCACAGGAAAATTAAGTACGCGCATCTCCTTCGCTCAGACGTTCCGCCATGTTTTAGAGGGAATAAGTGTTGTTTATGTGGTGTGCCATGATACTATAATAACAAGATAGGATCTTCCTGTAGCACAAAATAGGTCGTGTTCGCGCATGCCGTCATTGGAGAGTAGAAGTTGAATTCTTGTTAAAGTTAAATGGGATTTGTATGCATTCTGTGATGAAATGACTAAACGAAAATAAGTTAAGAGGTTTAGTAATTACAGTAATCGTATACATAAGAATATCTCCAAACTATTTATTAAAGATTATTTATTGATACATACAAAAAACTGACATTTCGACCGTCAAACTCTCCAATGACGTCACTACTTATGCGCAATATCTTATCTTCTTAGTCTTAAGTATCATGTGGTGTACATAGAAAAATTAACCCGGTTTAATTGACTTACGGCAATCATAGACATACTATACAATTATATTAACATTGTTAAATATAATAACAATATAATTAAACATAAATATCAACAATTACATAACCTCACAAATCATATGTCTGTGTTATGTGTTTCCAAAACATGGCACGCGTGCTGAAAAACTTAAAAGGCGGCATCTGAGAGTGGGCATTTTGATTGTTTATTATTTTGTGCTCCCACCTAGTAGTGCCAGTGCTATAAAACAACAATTGGCATATCTCCTAGTGCCAGGGTGCGTAACTATATATATATATATATATATATATATATATATATATATATATATATATATATATATATATATATATATATATATATATATATATATATATATATATATATATATATATATATATATATATATATATATATATATATATATATATATAAGGATCACTCAGACGAGTGGTGGGTTCTTATATCGGTCTCTAGGTGGAGAAATAAAAGACAAAGTTGATAGGCTACTTTATCTATTTTGAAGACGTTTCGCTTTCGAGTTTTGAAAGCATCATCAGTTCATCTAAAAAATTATTACAATATGAGAACCACACAATCATGGAAACGATGTTAATTGTTACCATTAAAAAGATATGTAGCAGTCAAAGTTATTAACAAATATGTGAATGAAACTAAGTAAATGGACATAGTACGCTGATCTTGTATAAACATTTAAGCAACTAACAACATATATGAACTTGTACAAAAATTAGCACAGCAATTGACCATGTGGTCCAAAATAAATTCAATGTTATTTATGTTAATAAGTGAGAAAGAACCAAGAAAATCATAAATAACCTCCAACTATTTAATGGATATTAAACTTTGATTTTAACTTTAGGTAGCATTATAAGTAATATTAATAAAATTTCTACAAAATAGTGAATATGAAGTTACCGATCAAAGCCCAATGGATGTCGCCGTGAAAATGGCGTTAGATGAAACAGGAACGAACTAAACCGCAAAAAGACAGCCAACCTTGAGGTCAAAATTACTTTTGACAGATCAACAAGGTGTAAATACCAACCCAGAATTTTGGGCGGTTAATTTAATTTTTTTATTTTATAACTGAGTCTGGATGACTACCAGGTTGTAAAGGACACAACAGTGAAAAAAGTGGTAGTGTAAACACAACTCCCCTCACTAACCGGCCCAAAATTTACAAACCGGAGATTTTCATTCAAACTCATAATAATGTGATGACGTTAATCATGTAAATATATATATATATATATATATATATATATATATATATATAATATATATATATATATATATATATATATAATATATATATATATATATATATATATATATATATATATATATATATATATATATATATATATACATGGCATGGCGGTAAATTTATCCTCCGCAATAATCATCGAGTTGGAATCTAGATTCTAACTCTCGATGGCAATAATACTCGTTTGCTTGCAGTTTGTGCGCCTTGTTTCTTGTCCTTTATGTCTTTAAAATCAAAAGTCTTTTTCACAGCCTAACCTAACCTAACCTTCTTTACCTATGCATAGCATGAGACTTGCATAGCCTAGATGTAAAGCTGCCTTTAGACAATTTTTATTTATGAAATCGAACACATGACATGGAATAACAATGGAAAAATGAAGAAATGACCAAAAATATGTTTTGTTCTATGGAAATGTTTGATAAATGGGTGAATGCTGTTAAGAGCTCTAAATTAGAGAAGGCTGCAACAGAAACTACAATTATTATATTTCATGTATGCGCTAATCATTTTAAAGAAAGGAGGATATATAATCATAGTTGGACATAGGAGCATTAAGAAAACAGTCGTTCCAAGTGTGTTTTTAATTATTCTGTGGTTTTTACCACGACCAGGTAAAAAGACCAGCCTGAAAGGCTTGAATTTACATAAAACTTAACATTAGAATGACAAAACAATTATTTAAATACTGAAATGTTGTTGTTGTAACATTAAGAACACTACATTATACTACACTTAGCTTGGACTATTATTTCTTGTAACATTTTTATTATTAAAGATTTTATTCTATATTTTATTATTTAATTTTTTGACCACTTTGGCATTTTAATGTAGGTAATGGAAAATAAATATAACATTAACATAACAAGAAAACCCAAATAGCATACGAAAAATATATATACACATTATCGTATATAATAAGGGTATTTTTTTTGTTATTTTAAGATTATATTGGTTTTTCCTTATTTTAAAATGAGTACAATCCCATTATAGATAAATTTTACCTCTCTTTTTATTTACCGTCATGCCATGTATATATAATTTCGCACCCTGGCACTAGGCGATGCCACAATCGTCGTTTTACTCATTAAAACGGGACTGGCACTGCTAGATGGGAGTGTGCTGTGGACATAAAATGACAACGAACAATGACGTATAATATAAACGAACAACGCGCGATGTGTATATATATAGTTACGCACCCTGGCATTAGGCGATGCGTCAATCGTCGTTTTACTTCGTAAGACAGGACTGGCACTGCTAGGTGGGAGTGTACTGTAATTGCAGTATACTTCCATAAGCTTCCTTTTACTTTTGACAGAATGTGTAGGATTTTAAAAATAGAGATGGACAACTAGTCATCACGTATCAAATAACCTAACGAAAAAGGAGATTTTGATGAAAACAATTTACACAAGATAATTTTTAATAATCTTTAGATCCACGGCAGCTGATAATTATTTTATCAATCTATTATTGTAGAAATTTGGCAGTTAGTAAATTAGTAAATGTTGTAAATACGTTTCTCTTTCTGTATTGCCTCAAATTCAATCTCTGGTTTATTTTATAAGATGCTTAATTTAGTTTTCACATATCCCATTATTCTACCGTTATAGTTTTTGCCTAAAATTAAGGCTGTTGTGTGTTCACCTATACGAAGGGATTTTGGTTTATATAGATTAATACTATTCCTGTATTTTGCTACCCTTTTCCAAATTTACTTGGCCTATATTCCAAGTCCCCCGCTTTGTGTAGATGTTCCGTGATACTTATTTTTCCAATTTATCAATCCATATTCAATAAATATTTTAAATAGGGTAAGTGAGAGAGAACTTGCCTGTTTGACACCTTTAGCTGTGAATAATCCTTTTAGTGTCTCGTTTCCAGTTTATTTTGATAACAAATTAATCAATTGTTTATATATCTTATACTTATTTCTCATAGATTGGTTTTCACTACATTATAATGTGTTTTCGTTAAGTTTATGAAAACTAAATGAAGGGTTCTTGTCTTATTTACTTACTTTTTTATTATTTGCTTCAAAGTAAACAACAGACCTACACGAAAGCGTCCTGCTTTGAACCTACATTGTTTCTCTATGCCTTTGTTCATCTTCAATTAACTCTTTTATTATTTTTCCGTATTGCCTGCTGAACGTTGGTGTTATTATAATGCCTATATAGTTATCGCATATAGTTGTATGTCTATTTTATGTATTTCTGTTAAATATATCATGTTTCCCATTCTTCCGGTATTTTCCCTGTGTTAAATAGTTTTTTTACAATTTTTGTAGTAATTTGTTTCGATTTTCTTCCAACAGTTTTTTGAAATATGTTTTCTGTTCTTTTTTCATTTAATTTACATTTTCATTCAATTTAAAATTTTACAGAGAAGAACCTCTTACCTGTGAAATCTTTCTAATAAATAAAGATCAATTTCTACATGACCAAAACAGATACTCGATATTACAATAGAAAGAAAATGAAACAAGCAAAATAAAAAGAAACCAAACATCGACCTATAGCATTAAACTGAGAGGGAAGGAAAAAGATATTTATTTTAATTTTTTTTCGCAATGTTATATAGTAACATCTGTTTTAAATTGAACACTCCATCTCTATATTTATGTTTGCGTAGTTACCATGGGAACATATGTATGTGTGAGTTTGTAAACAATTTGAAGCCGATTTTTCCTATTTTCAAATGACTTTTCGACTTATACTCAATTAAAAAGGCACTTACTTTTTTCCTAGTGTTAGCAGTATTCAAAATGACAAACGAAAAGGTTAGTAAATAAAGTCAAACAGTAAGTAAATTTTTTATTACATTGTGTCCTTATTTAAACTACAATTTCAATTAATAATTTCAAGAATTGGTTACAAATAAAAGAAATAATGCCATTTGATAAAACTGTACAATTGTTATTGGAGCTTAATACACAGAGAGAATACTATTAAACTTTTTGTTTAAATTTTATGAACTTTTGACCTGGTTAACCCCATTACTTTTAGTAAACTCTAAGGCAGTGCCTTTGTACGAAAAAGCAATGATGTAGTAATTTTCCTATAATATTTCAAGACTTTTAATCTCTATAATTTGTCTTTGTGTTAATAATTACAGCAAGGTTCCATTTTAATTCATCGAATTGCGCCAAATATAGGCAACTTACAGTTCTCAAATAAAAATAAAATATTTTTCTGGAAATTACTTATAATAAATATATTGTAGAAATTATTTCTTTTAGTGTTTTGTTTTTTAATCTCTTTCAAGATTTACAAATGATATTTTTACCTTTTTTCAAGCTTATCTGCCCGTTTGGTGCTTTCAATTTATTTTTTGTATGGATGTTCATATACTCACATTCCAGTCTTTTTGAGATTGTACTACATCTTAATTTTGTTCTGAAGATATTTTCTTGTAGCATCTTAATAGAATTTACTATTTTATTTGGGAATAAGTCATAGTTTTACTTTAAAGTCAGTTTATTTTGACGTTTCAGTTTCCACTTTGGAAATTGTCCTCAAAATATAAAAAATTAATTTTTAATTTGTAATTATCATGGATTCCTTATCTTTTATATCCTTGCAAAAATTAATTTTTTCTGTACCCAATATAAAGTGTCCTCTTTTATCCTAATATGTTTCTATTACCTTCCCCTTTCCTCAATTCTTTAATTTTCTTTGTGTGCATTAAGACTATCATATTTGTTTTGTTACTGTTTAAATATCTCACATTTTTGCCATCCATTTTTTCTTATCGGTACGTATTGTTGAGCGGATTTCTTTGTGCAGCTCGAACCACTGTTGTTTGTCAAATATTGTTTTAAAATTAATCCAATTCTAGTTAATATTACATATCTTAATTTAATATCTTTTACATTTAAGCTTCTATTTCGTCTGGAACAGCCCCACGGACCAGGCGATATTTACGTAACATGGCAGAACGGATCTGGAATGTATTTGGCAACAACTGGCATCGATTCCGTTATAAACATTTTTGACAGATACGGGCAGATTCAAGAACGTATAAAATTAACGGGTCTTTGTTCAGGATTTTCGTGGGATTCAGATGGCGATCTCCTAGCAGCCATAAGTCAGTCCTCACAGTTGGTTCTGTGGGATACGAATACCACCAAGAAAGATATTATAGATGTTGGTCTTAAGGATGCTATGACCTGTTTGATATGGGCGAAGAAAAATCCAATTTTAGCAGTTGGGACAGTTAAGGGGAATGTGTCTATTTATAACCACAATACATCTAAGTAAGTAAAATTTTATTCCATTTAAATTTATTACGTCCTCTACCCTATACTACATCTACTATAGTATTGAATTAATGTATTTACCAATGAATTTCAGTCATTTTTTAATATTATAACAGTATTTACTAATTTAAAATACTCTTAAAATGTTTAGAAAAACGCCAATAATCGGGAAGCATACGAAGAAGATTACTTGTGGTGCATGGAACAATGAGAATCTATTAGCTTTAGGATCTGATGATAAAACTGTATCCATAAGTAACAGCGATGGAGATACTTTAAGAGTGATCAATCTTAGAGCTGAACCTTCCGAAATAGACTTTTCACGGATGAAAACTGACGAAAGGGATGTAGGAGAAAACACGGTACGTTATTGTTTATGTCTTGTGCTCAGAGTATATTTTAAAAATATTTTTTTCTCAAGATTTATCATGCCCTGTGAAATATTTGACTGGTTTTGTATGTTTTCCCTTCATTAAATTTTTGCTAGTCTTTTCGTATGTATATTTTGTACTTAAATTTAAAAATACTTGCTAGGAAAAGCTGTAGATGATTTAACAGATTTCCCTGATGCCATAATTTTCCTTTTCTTTATCCTGTTACCACCCATTCTTCTATTGTGTATTTAGGCCAGTAAAATGTGAGTAAAACACTGATTTACATTAAAAGACAATTATTTATTATAGACTTGAACATTAGGTATCTTTTCAAAATGGATCTCTTATGACAAGTTACATGACAAGTAAGACATAGAACAATGACAAGTGACATCCTTCCTTTTTCTTTTTTTCTCCTCTTAGATAACTACACTAGGTTTTTCTAATCTATAATGGGACTCCCCGGATAAATTGATGTAGTACATGTATTAAATGTTTACTATTCTTTATTTCTTTTTAAGCTTAGATTTTACCCAATCAAATTGATTATTTTTCTATGTAGTGTATAAATTTTAGGTTAGCTTGTTGGTTAGCAAAAAAACATTGTATCTATACAATCTACTGGATCCTGACAATCCCGTAGAACTAGCCTTTCAACCCCATTATGGGTCCATAGTGAAGTACAAATGGTACGGAGATGGATATATATTATTAGGATTTTCTGGTGGATATTTTATAGCGATTTCGACGCATATTAAAGAAGTAGGTCAAGAATTGTTCCAAATACGAAATCATAAGAATTCTCTCGCCGATATAGCGGTTAGTGAGGTTATCGGAAAAGCGGCATCTTGTGGAGACAATACGTAAGTTTCTGAGATTTTATTAATATATAAAACAGTATCAAAAGTTTTTTCTCCCAGGGGTCAATTTATGATAAATAACTTTTTTACTAAAACATTAAATTTTAAAAATAATTTTTTTACCTAAACTAAGTAAAACTCGTCATCGAAGTGATTGATCAAATGATATTCATTTAGTAATTTTTAATGACCAAGGGGAAGGATGCATAGTAAACCTAATATAACCTAACTTAACCAAACCTAACTTAAACGTTATAAGAAAGCAGTCATTTTTTGTTAAACTTAGGCAAGGACAAAATATTATATAATTAGAAATCTGTTTTTGTTTTATTTTTCATAAGAAAACATTTTGTATAACTATGGTAAAACTGGTTAGAATAATTACCTTTATTGAGCATAATGGCGGTGGCTTTTAAAAACAAGACATATTTTTAATGGAAATTACAACAAAAAGAACGTTGAGCTCTCTCTCTTTCTCTCTCTCCCTCTCTCTCTCCATCTCTCTCTCTCTCCATCTCTCTCTCTCCATCTCTCTCTCTCTCTCTCTCTCTCTCTCTCTCTCTCCCTCTCTCTCTCTCTGTCACTCTCTCTGTCTATCAGGGATCCCGCAGGGATCAATGCTTATTTACACCATTGTTGTTTAAACTTTAAATTGTAGATATGCCAAAAACAACATCACTAAACTTGAATATGTTGCCTGCGTGAGTCTATTTCAAATGGGTAAAAGGAAATAAGAATAAGACTTATTCTAACACCAACAACCGGTTTCGCATGGTGCTGTTTGGTACATAATATACAGCAATTATGCCAATAATATATGTGTGTGATTATTAAATATGACTTTAAAATTGATTAAATAAAACTTAAGTGAAAAAACAATCTAGTAACATTGAAATTAAATAAATAAATATTAGTTACATGCCGATACAAGGATTATTATTCAATGTTTTAGAAAACATAGTTTTTGCGACGCCACAGTTTATGTGGGAGAAAATTCTAAATCCAGATGACACTACAAAAAACACAACTACTTGTAAACTGTGATCCATATATAATTTCTATTATAAACCATCTTACTTCAAGATAAGATCTTGAAGTAAGCCGAAATATCGAGACGAGTAAGAATGGGATGGCAGCGTTCGGCAAATTTTCTTACGTTCTAAAAAATCAAACAATCCCTCTATACTTACGAAGCAAGGTATATAACTCCTGTATCATACCGGTGCTCACCTACGGAGCACAGACATGGACATTTACACAGGCCAATTTGGATAGGATAAGGAAGGCACAAAGAGCGATGGAGAGACAAATGTTGGGTGTATCACTTAGAGATAGAAAACGTAACCAGTGGATTAGAACCAGAACAAAGACAGTAGACGCGATAGAACAAGCAGCAAAACTGAAATGGAAATGGGCTGGACATAATGAACGTCTCCAAGACGGACGATGGAACAATGCCATCGGAAAGTGGCGTCCATACAATGCAAAGAGATCAAGAGGCAGACCACAGATGAGGTGGAAAGATGACATCAGGAAACAAGGAGGTTCCACATGGCAGAGAACAGCTCAAGATAGGGAAAGATGGAGAGAACTGGGGGAGACCTATATCCAACAATGGAAGGATAGAGAATAGGTTCAAAAAAAAAAAAATTAAATGAACTTGAAATCAATCCAGATCTGCCGCACAGGTCTGAATGTTGTCCAAGACCCAATGTGTTTGTTATTTTTATATAAAATAATAAAAGAAATAAACTATGATAGCTAGAGCAACTTTGAAAACCCATTTGTATCTACGTGAAAAAAGTCTAAGTGATTTGAAATGGTTTATTTTTTATTGCAAAAGTTCTTACACTTAAATTTAATTTTTGATACAGTTTTTTTTTTAATTTTAACTTCATAGTTTTTTATATAACTCTAAGAATAATTGTATATTGTAGAGTGAAGATTCACGATTTGGCAAATCTTCAGGAAACCTCAAGTGTACTGACGTTAGCTCAAGAATCTGGAATCGATAGAATCGAATGGAGTTGTGACGGACAACTTTTTGGCGTGTGTACCAAAGGAGGATCTTTAAATGTGTATGTTTCGTATATGCCTACGTTAACCTCCGTATGTCCACCTATAATAGCAGTACTATCCAGTCTAACGGAAATCAGTCTCTATAACTACACTGCTGATAAGGTAAGTCACGTCTGTGCTGGTCCGTCCTATCCATCTAGAGTCGGTAACATCAAAGGTGCGGTACATGCTCGTGCGACGCGATCCTAGCGCGTCTGTGTTTTAACAGACGACAAGTGCAAGTCAGAAGTTTTTCAATCACTGACACGAGTAGTTGTTTGTAGTGTTGTCAAAGTTGTTTTGCAGTTTTTTTGCTAAAAAATCGAATGAACAAACAAAGTTATTTTTGATTTTTTAAATTTGTATCAAAATGAACCAAGTTTATGGAATTCCACGGCGCCAGAGCATAAGAACCGGAACGATGCATACGATATATGAAACCGAATAAAAAATCAATTGAAGAATAGTACTATTTCGATTAAAGAATTAAAAAAGAAGAGAGATAATTTAATGTCGACATACAGAAGGCAATGATGTTTACAAGCCTGAGTGGCCTTTTTATGATATAATCAAACATTACTGTCACGGACCTACACAGACTGTCACGGACCGTAGGAAGAGCTCTGTCTGCGGTGCGTTGTCGTCCGTGCTGATCGGCTATCCGCGATGATCTGTAGAATCGCCGATCGTGGGAAGCCACTTTAAGATATATTTAGACTCATTTAAAACAAAAACAAACAATTTTTTGGATAGTTTTCGACATTATGGCCAGATAAGTTGTTTATTCCATTTTTTAAACACCATGACGACTAACCTCAATTAGTATAATAATTTTTATTATGTAATTTGTACTTTTGTTTTAGTCAAAATTGAAGCCGATCACTATTCCTCTGGAAATAGAGCCCAGCTTTATTGCTGTCGGACACTTCTATTTTGCCGCTGGTATGAACAACAGTATTTGGTTTTATAATTTACCAAAACGGCAGCTCGGTTTAGGTGACGTACCCTTGAAACTAAAGGAGAAACAGTATTCAGGAGCTATTACCAGCATTAGGCTTGGTCAAGAGTACGTATCGGTGTTGCTCGAAGGAAGGTTGCAGCTACATTTGGTAAGAAACATTATAATTTATGATATTTTCGTGACTAGAAAATCACGATATAGTTATTTGTATAAATCAATGCAAGTTCAACTAATACTTTATTAAGTGAATAGACTGATATGTTTTTGTAAACACTGTATAATGAAAGTATGGAAAGGAAAAGTATTTTTGAAATGTGTAAAATTTTTTACACACACAATGTGAAGTATGTAACAAAGCATAGAACAGTTTTTGAAACAAAAACACTATTTTTTCTTAAATCCCAATAGATATTTTGATTCGAATTTCAGGTAGAATCTGCTAATACCAATCAAGAAGACAAAGATTCCATAACGTTTCCCGAAAATATAAACGAATCAGTTGTGATCACTTGTCACGAACTAACAGCTGATTTTTTAATATACGCCACGGATATGGGAAGTATTTTGTATTTCCATTTGGACGAGTGGTCCAGAGCTTTGGAATATAAACATTCAATTGGCATTACTAATGTTTATGTAGACCCTGCAGGGACGCGGTTGGTATTTGTGGACATTAAGATCAATGGTTATGTATTCAATGCGGTAAGTCTACAGTAGGTTATATTAGAAAAACAGTTATATTCATTTTTTAGTAGCACATCTAACTTTCTATATTATTATATCTATACTATAAAACAACAAAATGGAAGTCAGAATAGAAGAACAACTTACAGAACCTATAGAAATAGGCAGGGGAATAAGACATGGGGATACATTGAGTCCCGTGCTCTTCAATTTGATCGTTTGAGCACACTCTTGAAGCTCAAACGATTTCTCTTCAACAAACATCGAAGCTGTAGCCGTCTCAGTTAAAGCTTCTCAATGCATTAATTTATGCTGTATTTATGTTCCCCCAAAGGCATTTCTCACCATAACTGACTGCCCAGGATAATAATAGATTTCAATAGTGTCAATCCAATGTGGGGCCAACAAATTTTAATACCAAAAGCAGACTAATCGAAGACTTTATTAACAACAGAAAATTTAATTATTCTCAATAATGGATGACCAACCAGATTTAAGGTACTACTACTAGTACAACACCGGCAATGGATCTACCGATTTCTGATCCAAGTCTTTAAATTGCGCTTAACTGGGATCTTCTACCCTTATTATATGGAAGCGAACCAATAAAAGTTTTTATATTTTTTGATAACATTACCTCTGAATACCAATTAATCCAAAAATGGAGCCTAAAAAACACTAATTGGAATAAATACGCTGACATCATGGATATAAACATAGAATCACTATAACTCAGTTTTAAAAGCACTGTCCTCTGTTTTGCCCTCTGATCCTCCAGGATCTGATAATATTCCTTTAGCATTCTTGGAAAAATTACCAGACAACATTGCCTTATTACATCACCTTGACGTTGTTCAAACGAGGGCTAATTTCAAATAGTCATTCTTTGCTTCCGTTGTTTTCCGTGTAAAGCTCGATTCAGACTCATCAGTCACGTCTCGTCACAGTGATTGCGGCGAACCGAACAATCCGTCATACAAAATATTCTTTAATACAAATATGTTGCCGGCATTCACACTCATCAGTTGACAAACAGTTTCCTAGCTGTCAGATAGTTGATAGTTCTGTGACCAAACAGGACCGGTTCGGCGCCGAGACTATGACGGAACTGATGTGTCTGAATCGACCTTAAAGGTCGATTCAAACACATCAGTCACGTCCCGTCACAGTCCCGGCGCCGAACCGAATAATCCGTCATACAAAATATTCTTTAATAGAAATATGCCGCCGGCATTCACATTCATCAGTTGACGAACAGTTTCCCAGCTGTCAGATAATGAATAGTTCTATGACCAGACAGGACCGATTCGGCGCCGGGAATGTGACGGGACGTGACTGATGTGTTTGAATCGACGTTAATCCGTCCGATGACCGAGGCTGCTGTACGGGATGTTTAGCTGTGAATTTTTCCACAGGGCGGGTAGCTAAACTACCGCTGTAACTCCCCTCCTTTATTCACGCTTGGGACTGGCACTGACAGTTACTGAGCTACTCAAACTTAAAATCAGACTCAAAAATCAAAATCACAAGAAAGAATTGCACAGTCAGAATCACAAAAAGTGTTTTAAAGACCAGTTATCCACGAATACTTTACGCTATTTTTTTATTGGTACACTTTGAAATCATGTATTATGACTACAAAAAATTCAAATAAGAGCTAATGAGAAATGAGAAAAACAAAAATTAATTTGCAATCTGTCACATCAGATTAATTGTTATTACTGGTTGTATATTGCTTAAAATAAGAATGAGCAGAATGTTTCAAACATTATTGGGAGTGCCATTAATGGAAGTACAACCCCATTGACTTCCGAGAATGTCTGTAGTAGTAATTTGAACAGCATTTCCTCTGATTTAAAAAACGGAAGCATAAATATTTCAAACAATACCAACTGTACTTTTCACATTCATTAAAAAAAATTTTATTATTGAAATTAACGTGTCTCGACATCTATGGCCATTGACACGGGTACAAAAACGTCTGGAGTATTACATTATTATAAGATAAATACAGTAAGTTACATTAGATTTAGAAAAATATAGTGTTACAGACTTTGTTTCTTTTTGAACGAACAATGTTACAATATTTGTTATATACGATAATATAATCTGCAATCTTTTAAAAAGTCAATTAGAACACTGTACACATTTGGCGAACTAAGTATCTGTTTCAGGTTACCGTTTATATTATGAGCTAATCTATATAGTCTATAATAACTGCTCTCAACGTAAGTGTTCTACTGTAAGGCGGGTTCACAAGCAGGTGGGTTTTCAGAAGTCATCGGGTAGTCGTGAGTGAAGCGAGTGTGTCCTATTCGGAGTCTTCGAATGATGAGTTTGTCCCTTCTAGTCATTGTAGGTATCTTAAATGAGTATACAGTGGGACTGTGTATATGCAGTTTTGTGTTTTGTCCATTCCAATGACTTTGCCATGTTTTACGAGTGTTTTGTTTTATGATTGCTGCTAGATCTCGATGAAGTTGAATTTTTTCTAGGCTTAGGTCAGAATAACTTGCTTTTCTTGCTGCGATATCTGCAGACTCATTTTCTTTGATCTTCACATGAGATGGGGTCCAAAGAATGGTTATTAATGTTCCTCTGCTGTGGTTTTGATGACAGATGTGTTAAATTTTTTGGACTATCGGATTTAACGAGTCCATGGTCCGATTTTGGAGACCATGGAATCACAAACGTAAAAGGGGAAGGCCACAAATGCGATGGTCAGATGACCTGAAGAAACACGCCAGGTCAAAATGGATGCAAATTGCCCAAGATAGAGAGGCATGGAAGAAGGAGGAGGAGGCCTATATCCAAGTATGGATGTTAAGGGCTGTATAGATGTTGGCAATGGACTGAATTGAAGAAAGAGAATCAGTGCATATAGCTAGAGATTTCGTATTAGGAGAAATCCTTTCAAGAGCTTTAAGGATACCAAATAATTCTGCAGTGTAGTGTGAATACTACAAGTGGTTGGTAGTCGGTGTAGAGCTAAGGTTATATTTTCGGTACAGACAGCACAGTCAGTATTCTTTTCATCTTTAGATGCATCGGTATAAAGAACTTGATTGTACTGTTTTGCATTTATTGCTTCTTGAAATAATTGTCTAAGGATGTGGTTAGGAGTGTCTTCTTTTTTATGTCGACCTAGATTAGTATTAAAAGCAGGTAGCTTATTGGTCTATGGAGGAATATTGGAAGTACTGATGGGGATAGTTATATTTAGGTCTGTAGCTGCTAGCAAAGGATTTACTAATTGTGGTAGGTGGTCATTTAAAAGATTAAGATATCCAAATATTTGAATAAAGTTTTTGAAATATTTGTTAGTAATATTTTATTTTTAATTTTTTTATTTATTTGACGTTACAAGTTGTGTACTCCTGTCAGGTCAAATAAATATATAAAACTTGCCATGGTATTGAATTTAAACACACTACGGCGTACTTTAAATACGGCGTACTTTAAATAAACAAAATGGGGTAACAATAAAAAAATATATTTTTAAATCTTGTTTTAATTTTAAGGTACTAAACGAAGCTGTGGCAATACCAAATTTACCAAATAAGGTGTTAGGTGTTGTATGGGATAATAATATTGCCGAGAGAAATGTTTTTATAATATATGATGAACACCAAATTACAGCCTACCATTATGTTTCTCGATCTACAAAAGGTAAGAAAACTGAAGAAAAAACACTCTTAACAATACACTAGATAAAAATTTTTTATAAAATGGTTTTTCATTAAACATCACTTGAATTCATAAACTACTTTCTAAACTTTTTATCAACTTATTAGGTAGTTTGGTTGAAGTTATCGGCAACACGTTATTGGTTACCAAACAGTTGCCACTACTAATGTATTCTGGAGAAGTTACATCCGCAACTTCAGGAGGACAGATTTCGCAGCTTATACTGACAACTCATGAAACTCCCCAATTGAACGTCAACGAAAAAGATCATACTATGTTAGAGGCAAACTATAACAAGCAGCTCTCCTTACACAGGTTAGTAGATCTTTTATCCAGTATATCAAATGTATGGCAACGTAGCGGTGTTAGGTAACGTGGCATTTAAAACGAAAATTCGCATTGGAATTCACCTGCTATTTTTACTTGCAACATGGACCTGCAAGCGATTTGCGTTTTAGATGAACTACAATAAAAACTAAAATACATCTAGATCTAAATTCAAGGTGATGATAAGGACCGGAACAGTGTTAGTTTCATTTGCGGCGTTGCCGGAACGTGTTAAATATCGGCGGAAGTAAGAATCGTCCTTGTGATTGCTTTGTAGGACGTGTTGTCGAAGAATATCTTAATTATACGCATATTGTATCAGTATTTCAATCGATACACTATCTCTAATGTACATATCGAGCAGTTTTTGTACAAAAAGTGTCTACATACTACTTAATCTTTGAAGCTAACGCTACTACTTCCATCTTTTTTCATCATATGGCCCATCCTGTCAATAACCTGAACTCATATGATAACAGTTGCCTATATTAAGGGCTCTAAAAGACTGAGCAGTTTGTAGTGCTAAAAAAAACAACAAAGCACTATAGAATGGTTTGTAAATGTGATGTAATTACAATAAGGGGTAAAGAGCGACTGATTAGGTCAGTCGACGAAAACGCTCAGTCCAAAGTGTTATAATATTATGCTACGACTGATCAATTATTTGATATAATTCATAATGCGCACTTAGCAATTGGGCATGACGAACACAATCGTATGGTTTCCGAAATAAGTAAACTTTATTGTAATGTAACTAAGGAAACGATAATGGTTTATCTACGACTTTGTGTGCAGTGTAAGAAAAAGAGTAGTATAGCCAATGCAAAGGTGGTTGTAAAAATAATTGGCCATTGTCGTTATTGATCGGTTATTTATGAAAACTCTAATTTTAAGTTATTTTTTTACAACATTGACCAATAGTTAATTTTGAGCGGAGATGCAGATGTGTTTGACTTTACACCTTGTCCTTATGCTTTTTTTTTCACGCACCAGTCATAGGTCGCTGGTTTTTCCCTTGGGGAACAAGTTTTGTCCTTAATGAAATAGGTTAATTTTGTATACTTCTTTGAAGGACCACCCAGAAAACTGGGACAAATGAACCGATGAATTACAACATATTTTTGACGCCGATAACTTGCTTACCATAGCTGATTTATGAAACTAAACTTTATGAAACTAAAAAACTAGATAACTTTTCGGTGATACAATATTGACACGAACTGAGTAAACTTATAAATGTCCCGACTGTGTTAAACCTTCTGAAGGGCGGCTGGCGCGAGCAAGAGCCTAGCGCCCATTCAATGCTGGATTTGAACTGGTACTGATCACTTCCTTCAATCACTCGGCTCGTAATTGTTTCTTAACATTCAGAAATCTCCCCCCTGACCTTCGACGTATATAACGGATATGTTTACATTTTAAATACCTTCGACTTTTATTTTATTGGTAAAATTACAATATTGTGGATATTGTGGGAGAAATTACAAAAATGAAATGGCACTGGGCAGGTCACGTAGCCCGATATAATGACAACAGGTGGACAATTCTAGAATGGAGACCAAGGACGACAACAAGAAGCATGGAAAGACCTCAAAAATTTGGGTAGATGACATAAGAGCGGTGGCAGGCAAACAGTGGATTAGATTGGCGCAAGATAGAGAAAGATGGAAGTAATTGGGAGAGACCTACATTCAGGAGTGGATGGAAAATGGTTGACAAAGAGGTAAAATTACCTGAGAAGGGTATTTTTCAACTTTCGTTAAAGTTAGGAAATTTCGAATGACTCAAACCGATAATTTGGAACTACTAATCCTTTCATTGTTAAGATTCTTTAACGATTTTAGAAGCTTATGTCTAGAAAGTTATTTGAATGCAAGCTATCGGTGCCGTACAGATTATTAGATGGTACAAAAGAATTTTATAAATCTAAACTAATATACAGTGTGATATAATGATATGATAGGAAAATAAAATAAAAATATTAAATATTGTTATTACACAACAATTGTCATTGTCCAGTAAAGGTGTTAATAACCAGGGAAAATGGGCATTCACGACAAAGCCCGGTCTTAACTTCAATGTCCAATTTACATTATTGTTCATAACAAATACGTCTATGCTAAAAACTAACATTTTTTATTTTGCCATGTATTAACAGTTGCCTACATTAAGGGCTTATTATATACATTATAGGACCATATTTACAGCTGTTTTAAGAGTTACAATTTAAAACTCTAACTAATTCGGGAGTTATTTGTCGGGTGGAAACTTGATCATGAACTTGTATAAGTTGTAGATGAGAATAGTAAACAATTGTCGTATATTGTGGTGGACTTATTCAACTGAATAATTATGGAGATCATCCTTTCAACTTGTAGTTGCAAATTTATCCGTATAAATAGTCAGCACTTATTTTCTGATTTTAGGTTTAATGCTGCTTTTGAAACCTGCCGTTTAGTAAAATCAAGAGAGATGTTGCAGAAATTGGCAGAAAAAGCTTTAAAATATTTAGAGATTGAATTGGGTAAGTCCTAACATCTTACTTAAATAGTTTTTGCGACTAATCTAAGTAATTACTCATTACCTTGTTGAATTTAGCTATTCAAGTATACAAAGAAATGGAAGCTGTGGCTATGGTGTGGAGTCTAGAAAGTATCGTAGAGATAGAAGAGTATAAATTATTGTGTGGATACATTAGCATGTATCTAAACGAGTATGATAAAGCTCAAGAATGGTTCTTGTTGTCGAGTTACCCCGAAGCAGCATTGGAAATGAGAAGAGATCTTCTACAATGGGAGCAAGCGTTGCAATTAGCTAGAAAAATGGCTCCGAATGATATAGCACTAATATCTCGGGAATATGCACAACAGTTGGAATTTGTGTAAGTAATTTAGAAATAAGTGGACTGAAATATATTATTACATATATAAATTACATAGTTTCAAATCTACTCATTGCAAAAGAAATTTTTTAAAAATTTAATAGTTTTAACTGTATTATCTTTTAACAGCGGTAACTACTCTGAAGCTTTACGCCATTATGAAAAAGGTCTACAAGATGACTTAAATCCGGAACATACACTCATTTGCAAATCTGGTATCGCACGAACAAACTTACATTGTGGAAACTATCGACATGGCATAGCTGCTGCTACAGAATTGGACAACAAACAATTATTACGGGAATGTGCAGAAATATTGGAGAAGAAAAAGAAATATGCTGAAGGTAAATCTTGTTTACTTTGAATAATTTATTTTCTTAATTTTATTTTATGTTTATATTTTCAGATATTTGCATTTACATGTTATTTCAATTAGTTGATTATGTTTTTGATGTTTTTACATGCTTTGTACCACTCAAACCAAAATAGAAGCACCAAAAAGCTATTTATCAAATCATATATGATAAAACCCTAAACATAGTATGAAACGGTTCTAATTTTACTAAGAATTTGACTTTTATCAGTTTTTGTTCTAGTAGTGATATTTTCTGAGACATGTAGCACAAAATGTGGAAGTATAAAGTTGTGTAAAGTCAATAATTCGTTTTGAAATTGTTCCTGAAATTTCCACAACTTTTTCAGCTAGGGAAGAGTGAGGCTCCTTCAGACATAAAAATTTGAACTGTCATATCACTTTAAATACGTCACCAAATAAAAAGAAATAAAATATTCATAAATACATTGTTCGCCCAACTTTCACTGTATATATGCTTTTAACATTAAACCCTATACTTGAAATCGTAGGCTTCCACGGCCAGAGTCAGAATTATAGTTTATTCGTCTTCCGGGTTTGGACGTGTCATTTGTGAGTGACCCAAAAGTGGGTTCATCTCGACGTTTCGCTACAATTGTATGTAGCTTCTTCAGGAGAACAAAGAAAAAAAAAAGAAAACAAAAGAACAGGAAGATGGGTAGTTAGCAACGGTAACTCAGTTACTCAACGCAACCAGAGGCGAATACTAACTACCAAGATGGGCATTTGGTCACAGTAACTCAACTACTCAACGCAGCCAGAGGTGAAAACCAAATGCCAGGACAGGGATTCACGTCCAACAGCTCAGAACACTAACGCGTCGAGAGGCGGGGAGTGAATCCGACGATTACTCCGCTACCGCTCTATTTATAGTCGCGGTGCCTGTCGTGTCGGGACGTATCGGCACACTTCGTGGCGCGAACGTCAAGAAGCGCGCGCTGGCCAATCATGTGGCTGCATCGTGGTGGCGGGACCGGACGGTGGCTCTAGACTGAGATTCCAGATGGGAGACAAGTAGTATCCTTCCTCTCGATTGATATTATGGGGATTTTTTCGGATCTCTAGAGATCCGAAGATCCGAGAGATCTAGAGATCCGAAAAAATCCCCATAATATCAATCGAGAGGAAGGATACTACTTGTCTCCCATCTGGAATCTCAGTCTAGAGCCACCGTCCGGTCCCGCCACCACGATGCAGCCACATGATTGGCCAGCGCGCGCTTCTTGACGTTCGCGCCACGAAGTGTGCCGATACGTCCCGACACGACAGGCACCGCTACTATAAATAGAGCGGTAGCGGAGTAATCGTCGGATTCACTCCCCGCCTCTCGACGCGTTAGTGTTCTGAGCTGTTGGACGTGAATCCCTGTCCTGGCATTTGGTTTTCACCTCTGGCTGCGTTGAGTAGTTGAGTTACTGTGACCAAATGCCCATCTTGGTAGTTAGTATTCGCCTCCGGTTGCGTTGAGTAACTGAGTTACCGTTGCTAACTACCCATCTTCCTGTTCTTTTGTTTTCTTTTTTCTTTTTCTTTGTTCTCCTGAAGAAGCTACATACAATTGTAGCGAAACGTCGAGATGAACCCACTTTTGGGTCACTCACAAATGACACGGTCCAAACCCGGAAGACGAATAAACTATAACCCTATACTTGTTGTAAAAAAAAATAAAACCACTTTTTTCAAAAACGTCTGAAGATGCCCCACCTGGGGTGCACCTCCAGACGGGGAATGGGATAGCTTCAGACACAATTGGAAAAATGACAACCTTATATAAATGTTTTAGAAATTATTTATTACAATATTTAAAACTATATTATGATACTTTAACCAGCACAAAATTTTAAATTTTCAATTCACTCCTGTCAAAATTTTGCTGCGGTTCTTCTAATATTTTATCATCAGAGTTTTTGCTATTTTCACCAGTTGTCTTCTTATTCTTCTCATTTTCAAAAAGTAGTTTTCTTTTCCTAGATTTAGTACGTTCAGCATTAGAGTTGGTGGTTTTCTCTTTGCTTTCCTATTGATCTGTTTTTCTGCCAGAAGAAGCTATTCTGGGGTGTCAGTTATTATTCTGCCTTTCCCCTTTTTCTTGGTTTCTGGGAGCTAATTATGAGTTTCGATTTTGAATATCCTCGTATCTCCTCAGGACTTAAATAACAGCCAGGCTGTTGAAAGGACATAGAGGTAGAGTTTTGGTAGCTTGATGTTGATGGAGTGTCTATTGGTTGCTGAAATTTGGGGAGATGAGGGTGGTTTTTCAGAGCCCTAAGTTGGTAGACTTGCAGCTAGTTGGCATGTTCATCAGGAAGAGTTTCGTCTGGAGGATTAGACCTTTATTCCTAATTACCAAATTTACCAACAATATCAATGTCTGAAGTTGCCCCCTGACTGAAGGAGCCCCCTTCTCCCCTATATCACAGTCAAATTTTGATTATAAACAACCGTCCTGGGATATATCTGCAAAATCTAAGGTTCGACTCACTAAAACCAAACCTAAACAGTTCCGTCTGGACTAAAACGAGATAAAAAATTACATCCAATGAAAACCTTAATGTAAAATCACAAGACACCTCAAAATCTTCCCCCTGCCTTAATATTAAGTGATATTCATCAGTCAAGTCAAGAATCCTTAGCGATAAAAGTGTTTCTAGGTATTAGGTATTAGGTCAGTAGTGATATATTGTAAACGAAATGTGAACTCTCTTAAGTTCTGATGAAAGCCAATTAAATAAGAATCATTAAACATAACTTATTAAGACACATACAAAGTTTACTTTGTGAAATCACAAAGGCTAAACTGACTTGAGCACTTTAATAGAATACTGGATAATTGCACTATAAAAATAGTACAAACGTTGAGTTTTTGAAGTCCCCTAAGAAGTACACGAGGAAGAAAATTTCGTAAAAGTTGGATGGATTGATGATAACCATGCAACGGAGGAGGAAATTATCTAATAGGGCAAAATGAAAGAACTTTATTAAGGAATGTTGGCCTTCAGGGCTGATATTTGGTAATGATACATTTCTTTCAGGGTTTATAGGCTGCAAACTGTAATTATTGTTCACTGATTCTCTCACTTTTGAAGGAAAGCTATTACTGTTTGTATTGAACTTTTATTGATCCACTAATTTTGACTCATGAAATGCGCCTTTACGTAATTTTGGATAGAGCTCTTTTATTTAAAGGCTATCTACTACTTCTAGCTGCTTCATTATTTGAAAGATGTTATCAATACGAGAAGGCTGCATCTATCTACATTAAAATGAAGAGTTGGAGTAAAGTTGGGGAGCTCTTGCCTAATATATCTTCGACTAAAATTTACCTTCAGTATGCCAAAGCGAAAGAAAGCGAAAACGAAATCGAACAAGCTGTATTAGCCTACGAGAAAGCAAAAGATTTCGATTCTGTTATCAGGTATGTACTCAATATTTATTATAGTTTGTTTCATTTTATAATACAATACAGATTTTTACAATTTTCAGATTTAAAGTTCTTATATTGGCATATACGGATCACGACATTGTTTTATTGACCATACAACACAATGGCAATCGCTGTGACATGTTACACGTTTCCATCTCTATATTTATTTCATAGTAGGTACGAATTGTCGTAATTGTCACATTGACATTAACAATTTCAAACGTAGTTCTGAAAGAATAAACAAATAATTAATAAAATGCCTATTATGTTGTATACCGTCCAAGAAAAAGTGCAACATGTAACATGGTACTTTCAGGCTCATTCGATACGCGAATTAATCGATTTATTTATTGTTACCTTCGACAATAGACCCCCACCAAGTGTTGCAACAGTTAAAAATACCATTAAACATTTTCAAACTTCGGGATGTGTAAACAGTTGTAAAAACTCTCATGAAAGTAATGAACCACGTATTAGATCTATCGATGAGGAGTGTCAAAACAGGGATATTGATATTTGTGCTTTCGTGGAAGCTAGTGAACAATGCAATAGTGTACAAATTGCTAGGGTAGTTAACGTGAATGGAATGGAAAGGAATGGGTATCACTGTTTTAAGATACAACCAACACAAGAACGGTTTCCGGAAGATAACTTTGGGCGGATGGAGTTTTGTGAATTTATGTTATATAAACAGAATGAAAATGTACACTTTTTAAAAAATATTTTATATTCTGACGAATCTTCATGTTCGTTACATAAAATAACAAAATCGATCCGTTGCAAGGTATTATTCTCGGAAAAATAAGCACCTCAGTGTTGCAGTGCGAACGCAGCATCCGCAAAAGTTAAATGTTTGGACTGGGATATTAGGCGATCATATTGTCGGTCCATTTTTTATCGATGAAAACCTAAGCGGGTCCAAATATTTACAACTTTTCCAGAATGAGATCATTCCGGTAGTTCGACGCCAATTTTCAGGAGTAGTACACTTAAATAACCCGCTAGATCCTGTGACTTACCGCCTAACGATTTCTTTTTTTGGGGTTTTGTCAAAGAAAACATTTAGAGGCATCAGTTTGAAAGGGCCACAAAACTAGTCGAATTAAGGGCAAAAATACTTTATTTCTCTGCAAGCATTACACCAGCCCTACTCCAAAATATGAGAAGAAATCTGTATGACATTTATTTAAAAGTACAAACGATTCTTATTCTGATTTTTTTCTTCTTTCTTGTCTTATTGTTATAAGCTTTGTCCAGAGACAATAAAGCATATTACTTATTTACTTATTTATTTGTATTGCTATTAAGGCTAAAAAATAACCAAACAATTAGTTTTCATCATCATCACTGGCTCGACAACCCTTTTTGGGTCTTGGCCTGTTTAAGGATTCTTCTCCATTCTGACCTGTTTCGTGCTTTTTTTTCCAGTTTTTAATTTTTAATGTTGTTATATCGTTTTCTATTTGTTCTACGTATCTCAGCTTCGGTCTTCCTCTTGTTCTTTTTCCTACTGGCACTTGTTTGAATATTTTGTTTGGTATTTCGCCTTCTTCCATTCTTTCCACATGTCCAATCCAACGTAGCCTTCCTATTTTAATGAATGTTATGATATCCGGATCCTGGTATATGTTGTATAGTTCAAAGTTATACCTTCTCCGCCAAATCCCGTTTTCTTTTGTGCCCTTATATATGTGTCGCAAGATTTTTCTTTCAAAGGTGGCTAATAACGTTTTCTCCCTTTTAGAGAGTGTCCAGGTTTCTGAACCGTATGTGAGTACCGGTCTTATTAAGGTTTTGTATATTTGGCATCAATTTATTATAATGCTCTAAAACAATTAGTTTTAGAGCATTATAATAAATATACAACAAAACAATGTCGTTATCTGTATATAAAAATAGGCATTGATAGAATTTTTGCCAACTTAGTGTATATCCATAATTGGCGCACATATTTTACAGGTATATATTTCTTACTTTGTCTCTAAATAAATGAATTTACAGGTTACATTTAGAACACTTAAATAATCCCGAGATAGCTGTTGAGCTCGTACAAGAAACAAAGAGTATTGAGGGCGCTAAGATGGTTGCCAAATTCTTTTTGGGTAAGTTGGTTGGTTGGTTCTGAAAATTTTAGAATGATACAAAGGTTACAAAGTTATTTTTAAAGAAGTGTAGTTTTCTTAAGAATTTGAAGTTTTCTTTTACTAAGAACGTTGAGCACATTGTAGTATAAAATGTGACTAATTCCAGTTATTTTTTAGGACTCAACGATATAGCATCTGCTATAAAATTTCTCATAATCTCTAAATGTATAGACGAAGCTTTCGATTTAGCGAAAAAAACACGGGAAGATGATGCTGTATGGAAAAATCCTTCTAGATACATTTTCCGAAGATGATATCAAACCACAGGACTTTGTTAGCGTAGCAACACATTTTGAAAACGAACAAAATTTTCTTCTCTCTGGCAAATATTGGTTTCATGCTAAGGATTATCAGAAGGTAAGCTACAGACGGGATTATTTGACACAAATAGATTATCTTTTTTTTTATTGTATATTAGAGTATCTGATTTTTTATGATTTTTCTTTGTTATTAAGCGCACAAAGAATTATATACATTGAATTAATTTTTTCCATTTTCCAAGGTACAGAAAATCTCATATGGAAACTGTATCAATTTGAATCAGTCTGAAAACTAGAGTAGTAAAATGTTATGCATTCTCTACTCCTTTATATGGTGTAGAATGCTGGACCTTAACGGATAATTCTTCTTAAAGTACCCTATCCGTTCTGAACGTTGGCCGCTATCATGGCAATGCGAACCTTATTTTATGCGCTGCGGAATAGCTCGGCCGATGTTGCTCCAAAACACTTGCAAAGGTTTGCAAGCCAAGAAAATCTTCTTTTTCCTGGACTTCACATGCCCTCAATATTTCCTTCGACTATAGCCTGGAATCTTCAATAAGAAACAAAATGCATTGCTACAGGATGAAAATGGTAAAGTAATATTCGAAGTAGAGGACAAACTTAAAGAATGGGAAAATTACGTCACGAACCTATTCGAAGACGATAGGAGTAGTTCACCTCCCGATATTACTAACTGCGACGGACCCCTAATAACACGCTGTGAGGTTACAAAGGCCATACAATCATCAAAAGATGGCAGAGCGACTGGTCCTGATGAAATTCCAACTGAAATATATAAGCTTATAAAGGATAGCAATGTTTTAGAGGCTATAACTTCGTTTTTCAATACCATTTATACCAGCGGACAACTACCTAATGGTTGGTCTAACTCACTGTTTATAGCTCTACCTAAGAAGACAACAGCAAAAACCTGTGCTGATTATAGAACCATCAGTTTGTTAAACCACTTATTGAAAATTTTTCTGAAGGTAATACATGGTCGTATCTACAATAAATGTGAGGAATACCTGGATGACACTCAGTTTGGTTTCCGTAACGGATTTGGAACGAGAGAGGCACTGTTTGGAATGAACGTACTTGCTCAAAGATGTCGTGATATATCTGTAGACATATACTGTTGTTTTATTGACTTTCAAAAAGCATTTGATCGTGTTAAGCACACTATACTGATCGAAGCTCTAAAAGACATAGGCTTGGACGGCAGAGATGTTCGAATAATTGCAAATTTATATTGGAATCAAACAACATCAGTTTTAGTAGATGGTGTGGAATCACAAGCTCTCAATATTAAAAGAGGAGTACGGCAGGGATGCCTCTTGTCACCCCTGCTTTTTAACGTTTACTCCGAAAGAATTTTCAGAAAAGCGCTTTCTGAAAAACAAGAAGGAATACTTGTGAACGGCGAAGTCATTAATAATTTGCGATATGCTGACGATACAGTACTCCTAGCTTCTAGTCAAGAAGATCTGCAAACACTACTTGATAGTGTCGTTGAGAGTTGTAGGGAGGCAGGTCTTGATCTGAACATAAGGAAAACCAAAATACTTGTAATAAGTAAACAACAGAATTTAAAACCGTCTATATATGTAAATAATACCAAACTTGAGCAAGTTGATAAAATCGTCTACCTTGGACAGCAATTAAATTGTAATGCAGAAAATCACGGCGAAATTAGATCCAGAATAGAGCAGGCTAGAGCTGCTTTTAGAAGGATGTCCAAGGTGTTATGTAACAGAGACCTAAAACTGGCATTAAGGATCCGCCTACTTCGCTGCTACGTGTTCTCGGTCTTACTTTATGCTGTCGAGTCCTGGACTGTGAATAAAATCGATCTAAATCGCCTTGAGGCTTTCGAAATGTGGTGCTATAGAAGAATTTTAAAAGTTTCCTGGGTGGAGAAGATTCGTAACTCCATAATACTTGAACGTCTCAGCAAGACTACTGAGACCATAAAAAGCATCAAGCAGAGAAAGCTGGAATATTTCGGACATGTAATGAGAGGTCCCAAATATAGATTGCTACAAAATATCATGCAAGGAAAAATAGCAGGCAAACGCAGTCCAGGACGAAGAAGAACCTCATGGTTGAAGAACTTGCGAGATTGGTATGGTGTAGATACAAGCATGCTATTTAGGGTGGCAGTGAATAAAATTAAAATAGCTATGATGGTAACCAACGTTCTGAAAGGACATGGTACATGAAGAAGAGAAGAATAGTCTGGAGTAAACCAAATTTTCCTTCGTTTTCTACCACCACAAAATATTGTAGTTTTCAACATGTTGTCAACAGGTCATATGGACAATTCCTGGATCAGTCTGCTTTTTCTGTATTTGGTATTTTCTTCATTCATAGGTTGTTGAGTGTTTTTGCTCGAATAATAATAAATATCCATTTTCCTTCTTCAGTTTGGAATGTTCATTCTTTTAATATCATCCCTGACCTGGTTTTCCCATCTGGGATGGTTTCTACTCATAACATTTTCTTGATTGGTTCATTATCCTCTTCTTGGGACGTGACCTAACTACTTCAGCCTTTGTGCCTTTTTATGCAATATCTTCTCCGTTCCTTATATTATCTTGCTATTATAAAAACGTCTAAATTCTCCTTGTATTTTTTGGTCCCAGGATTCTTCTGAGAATCTTCCTTAGTTAAAATAGTTCTTCAATAACAATTGGCGAACAGTCCAACAAGATAAATCTAAGACAAGTCGTAGAATGTATCTTCTAAAACATATTTACTCTGCAATTTAATAAAAGTCGCAGATTTATTTATTTTTCTTAAATTCTTAAACAGTATTTTATCAATTTTGATATCTTTTCAGGCTATGAAGTTTCTTTTAAAAGCTGCAAGATCAAGCTCTAAAGAAAAAGAAGCAATAACAGTAGCTATAGATGTCGTAGCATCATCTAACGATAATACCTTGACAAATACTCTCATTGAATTCTTGTTAGGAGAATCCGATGGTATTCCCAAAGATCCAAAATATCTTTTCAGGTAAGAAAGTATTTTAAGTATATTCACATAATGCTGGACAGAAAAAGTAATATTTTAGGTTATGTTAGGTTAGGTTAGGTCTAGATGTGACACCTATCGATGCCAAAATCAAAATGTATAGAGTGTACTTAGTATATATTTATTATGAATTGCTTAAAACACTTGAGAAGAAACAATGACAATTTATCATATTTTAGACTTTACATGGCAAGAAAACAATTTCGCGAAGCTTCTAAATCCGCGGTTATAATAGCTAACGAAGAACAGATCAACGGAAACTACAGAAACGCTCACGACATCCTATACGCCATGTGCCAGGAGTTAAAACAAAATTCTATAAAAATCCCCTTTGAGATGTACATGAATTTGATGTTGTTACATAGTTATATTTTAGTCAAATTGCACGTGAAGAGAGGACAACATTTAAATGCTGCTAGGATGTTAATGAGAGTCGCTAATAGTATATCAAAATTTCCTGCCCGTAAGTATTGTGTTTTATATAAAAGTCAGTATTGTATTGTAACGTGTTTAATAAAACGAGCGGTTTTAATTTAGTAAATATATTTATTTATAAGCTTACAGTATAATATCTTATAAATAAACTGAACTAATATCAGCGCTAATAACTGAACTAATAAGAGCGCCGGTAATCTTTCATCTTATGTTGAAGGGTTCGTGATTCTTCTGTTTCATTTTAGTCAGTATAAGGTGCCAGACGATTTATGTGAACAACTTTTGAACAACATTTGAAGCTTAAATTCTGTTCTATCATCGTTCTCAAAGGTTCTAAACAGAACATTTTTTAGTCCAGGCAATTCCAATAACTCCAGTAGGACTTGATTTCCGGACTACATACACTAATGTCTTGCCAAGAAGGTCTCTCAATTCGACGCATCCAATCCAATACTCTTTTTATTCCTGTATCATTTGCTTGGGCGCCTTGTAGCTGCTGAGGCTGTCATTGATCATTAATGACGGTGGTTCGTCTCACAGGGCAAAGTCGTTCCTCTAATTTAAGACAGTGATTACAATTTGCACTGCATGGCCTTCTTAACCGAGCATTAGCATTTGAATGACTTTTTCCAGTGTTCGATCTGTTCTAGCTTTCTAACTGTTGTATTATTTTCTTGCAATTGACGTTGAATGTGACCTAGGTTCAGATAGCTTTGTGACTAGCTGTTTCGTGTTCCAAGGCAATGGTGAACGCTTCATCTAAAACTTTCGGTCTTCTAGTCGTAAAGCCTTCTACTTGTCTCTTAATGCATTGACGAAGGTATCTACAGCAATTCCTTCCAATATGACATCTGGTGCCTCTTGATAAGCCAACCGCACTATACGAGCAACATCTACTTCAGAATCTTGCATATTTTCACTTGCTCGTTGAATTCTACTTCTGGGTTGTGCGTTGAAGACTTGTAGATGAGTATCTCCGTAACGTTTGTCTAGTCGAGTGAACAAGGTCTGGTAACATTTTTCTTAGCTCTTAGGAATCGATCTTATGATATCTGCAGCATCGCCTCGTAAAGCAGCAGTCAAGGAAACCTTTTAAAGCCTTTTTCTTGTTCTGTCCAATGATTGTGTAAGGTATATGGATCAAGAAGACTTCTCATCAAATTGTGGCAATTTGAATCTCATATGAGGTGTTGTTTCGTCTCTCGGTGTTTCTTTCTTCATTACAGGATCTAAAACTACTGCATTAACTGGTGGTAGCACTTTCGTACTGGTTATCATGCTCTCTAGCTGTTTGAACTTCTCTTCTACCTTATCGAATGTTTTAGAAACTTCTTCGAATTTCAAATTGTTCTTTTTAGACGTTTCTTCCATTTGAAAAACATTTTCAAATTTCTCGTCGAATCTTCTAGAAACATTTTCGAATCGTTCATCACTATTTTTAGAAGTTTCTCTGATCTTCGTTAAAACTGCCTTTTTGGCTGATTGAAAGTGAAAGTTTCGTCTCTATTCTTGTTCTTGGATCTATTCTAATCTTGGAAGATCCTTCAGTCGTTCTTGAAGGATCTCCTTGGACTCGTTGCAGTCTTCATCTCGTTCTTCAAGTTGTTCACGTAACTGTTTTATTGACAGTTCTGCAAGCCGCATCTTTGGTCAGACACAGCTGGTCGATACATGTTCTCTTCAAGATTATCGAACACACATCATCATTTCGAGAGATGTAACTGTTATATGGGGTACGTCGAAATTAGCTTGGTTGTTACAGTATTTATTACAGTGTAACTAATTGGTGATTTATAGTTTCACCATTTATCTTGATCCCTTTTGTAGAGTTTTCAAGTGGTTTTGTAATATAATTATTAATAATTAACATAATTATTCTTCGGAGTATATATTAAATAGTAATGGTGAAAGTACACAACCTTGTCTTACTCCTCTCTGCTTATCCCTTGCGCATTTGTACTATTTCCATCTAATGTTATCACAGCCCGTTGGTTCCAATAGAGATATCTCATTATGTTAATATCATTCGCTTTAGACATTTTTTCATGCGAATAATACGTTTAACTTTGTCGCTTTTGTCTATTAAAGCATCTAGTAAAGATGTTGATGTTGGTTTCACAATTTTTAGGGAAAAAACTGTAAAACTGTGAAGAGCTTTTCTTGTTCCGAAGCCATTACGGAAGCCAAATTTCTTATTACTTTTAATGTGTTTGACGATATTTTTTAGAATAATATAAATAACAAATAAATTTGTTTATATTAATTCTAAACATTTTCAGATATAGTTCCCATTTTGACTTCTACTGTGATAGAATGCCACAGAGCTAATTTGAGGCAAGTGGCATATAAATACGCAACGACCTTGATGAATCCCGAGTATCGAAAAAACATAGATCCAAAATACAGCAAAAAAATTGAAGCGGTCATCAGGAAACCTTCGAAAGGCGTTAAGGATGGAGAAGCCTCCGAAGATCCCGTCGAACCGCTGACGCCATGTCCTTTTTGTGAAAGTATGTTACCAGAAACGGAAATTACTTGCAATACGTGCAAAAATAATATACCATTTTGTATTGTAACGGTAAGATAAGACTTTATTGTAATATTGTTAGTTTAGTAACTAGAGAATTAGTTCATTTGCTAATTGATATGGTTCTTCTCAGAGCCTTCTTTTAGTGTGTCATTAATTATGACGTCATATAATGTATTAGATGTTTCGAGAATTATTTCATGTAATGGACCGCAGGAGTGTGACGTCACGACTGTCACATTGACATTATTACTTTCCAAACAAAAGTTGAAATGTCAAATCTCAAGACTTTTTAATTTCTATAAAGTAAACATTTTGCTTCCTCTGCTGCTTTTTCTTGTAAGCATAGTGTTTTTTACGATAATACCATCATAATTCAGAGTTCTATTTCTATGAAATATAGTTTAAAAGTTTAAATAAAGAAATTGTAACCTTACTTTATTGATACATGCATTTTATTGCTATTAGCATAACACAATGTGCTTTATTATTTACACAACCTTGTAAAATTGTTGTAGTAACTATTAGAATACTTAAATATTGCAATAAGCGGAAAGATTCTATAAAATAAATGAAAAAATAACGAAAAATACAAATTATCCACACTAAACCAGGTTTGTTTGGAAAGTGAAACTGACGTAAGTCAGTAAAATCTACGTCATCACTCCTGTGGTCCATTATTGAAGAATCTGACATATGCCAGGATGGTATTTAGCCACAGGTGAAAAACTTATGGCTTTAAACTAGTACTTTTATTGCAAGGTGAATTAAATAGTAAACAATATTATTTATTAAATTTATTGTTTATTTATAATCATATATAATACATTCGTAGTTAGTTCGTTTTCTTCTTCTATCTGGCTAAATAAATGCGAAATAATGCTAAAAATATTACTACTTTCTCCAACGTGAAAGAAAAAACAATACGTTCCTGGCTATTATTCTACTATCTATGGACTCAAGGAGATAACACATTTCTTTGGATTTTGTGAATAAAGCAATAAACCGTAATTGGGTCTTTCGGCGAAATACCGTTGAAAGAACCCTGGTACTTGTCTTATATAAAATTGGTTAACCTATGTATAATTTATTTTTTAGGGCCGACATATAGTTACCGCCGATTTAACAGCATGTCCAGAATGTGATTTTCCAGCCATACGAAGTGAATTTCTTCAGTAAGTATTTATAAATTTTATTTCCCTATGCAGAATGAATATCGCTAGTTAGTTCTTGACATATCTTTTTGGATTTGCTATTAAAGTTTTTATAAGAAGACGAGGAAACAAAATGGACCATTGGATTCAGTCATAAAATATTATTAATCCTTTCACGGATACGTCGGTTCTGACAATCTGACCTCGTTGTGGGAAAAATTTACCAGATACAACCCTTTTAGTCACAGCAACCCTCTTGTTAAGCATTATATTGCAGACTACTGGCATTTAACTTTTCGAAATGACATTGTATGACATTGTATTTACTCTTTTTTGAATAATGTTGCCACCAAAAGTGAAGGTAGTATCATCAATTAAACAAAAATTTCTTGTTTTGCTTTCTTTTTCTCCTATTTTTCTTTCTATTGGACCTCCTACATTTCTTTTTTGTTCTCCGCCTTGTACTGGTACATCCTCTCGTTTTTTATTTCTATTTTTCCTTCGCTCCTTGTTTTTATCTTCTTTCTTATTTTATCTTCTTTCCTTATTGTCTGTCTGCTAATGTAGACAGACAATTTTTTAAAAATATTTTGTTTAGTGATGAATGAACATTTACATTAAATAATAAATCAAATTCCACGAGGAAACTAAGTTCCTGTAGCTGGCTGTATACCATATATCACAAAAAATTGTTTAAAATCCTTTATAAAAGGTATATAAAAATGCCCCAAACGGGCTATCACAAACACATTGCAAAACGTTTTCGGATTAAACAATCCATCATCAGTGCAAACGGTTGTACCACCAAAGTAGCCACCAAAATATAAGGGTCAAAACCCTTTAAATGTTTTAAATTTGTAGTTGTTTTACATTATTAGTATTTATAATTTGTGATGTTTAAGTTACCGTTTGATAGGTAACATGGCGGCGTATGACTCTACATGAGTAAATTGGTCCTGATACGAAGTGTCTACGAGGACCTGTTGATAACAGTTGTGGCCCGCTTGGCTATTCATTAGGTGTTTTATTATTGTTGAAAATATATTGTGATGAAAGGTTAATACACAGTTTGTTTATTTATATTTGAATTGTTTGTGTTAAATTCTTATAAAGATTGATACTGTTTTTTAGAATTGCTGAAGAGGATCCTCACTGCCCAATGTGTTCTATGAGGATAGATATTACAAGATTAGAGCCAATACAGGATAGTAAACCATATTTGAACGTTGACACATAAGCACATAAGTAATCATCAACAAGTTAAAACACTTTTCCAATTTGATATCGAAAGAAATTATTGACCATGACTTTCTAATTTATCCGTAAATACTTTCACGAAATGCCGGCGAAGCGATGTTAACTAGACGGAGGAACCCACTAGCTTGATGTGGAAATACGTCGTTTCGTGCATTTCAAGGGATCTCACCATAATGGGCGTTTAGAAATGTGTACCACAGTTTTCATGTTACTAACTGGATACATATGAATTATCGCAGAGAAAAAAGTCGCAATATTCCTATTAATATTAAATATTTTTAATAGTAGTGCAATCTGTTACAGTGTTCGAAGAAAAATTGAAGTTTTATGCACTGTATGTTTTTAAATATTTTATGGCATTTCTTGTATTTTAAATATTTATGTAGGTTTTGTTTTTAGATATTTTATAAAAATCTACTATTTTTGTTAAAAACAATTCAATAAATTATATATTAAATGATTGTATTAATTTTTTTATTGCACATAACAACCATTATGGACCCGGAATGAAACAGTATGCAGAAATAAAAATATCGGAAAGAAATGAAAGGCAGAATTTACAAAACAGTCATCAGACCAATAATGACATATGCGGTAGAAACACAACCATGATACTATAATAAACAGGATGTGCTCACTTGCTGTTCTAATTTTGATCGACTTTGCGCATGTCGTCATGGTGAGACAAAGCCAGGGGACTTGTTTGTATCATATTTTAACGATGCAACATATGGCAACGTTGTTCCATTACTGTAATGAACAACTTCAAAACTTAAACTGTTAACGGTAAGTATACCTACCTCGATGCCATATCTGGCACTAATAAGTCATAACTAGTTACTTTCTGTAAAAACGTGTTTTGAAAATTAATTGAAGAAATACATGAATCTACGATTTGATTGTGTGTATTACACAGAATATATATTGCTACAAAACATAAATTAAACATAAAAGGCCGGCAAAATGTAAAGAATTTGACTATAAAGAAAAAGCGGATCAAACTTGAGACTTTATGAATATTATTTAGACATATATTTTACAATATTTGTGATTTTTCTTTTGTAGTATTGTAATTATATTTAATATTTTGATTTAGAATTTGCATTTTAAAATACATTTTACATCTAAAAAAAGTAATTTTACATCTTCGCTAACATTTACATATTTTGCAGCTTCTATTAAGTTTTTTAAATAATTTTTTGTTATTTTTAATGTGTCGCCATTATAACTACGAAAAATATGTTCCTACTACATACATCCAAAGTAACTTTTTTTAAAGACCTATCAAAAATAAAGTATTACTTCAAGTTCTATTAAAATGGGCATTAGTATATATTATTATCTATAGAAACATTTATTATTATCCATAGAAACATTTACTCTGCTGTTATAATATTGATATATTAATTATCTGCTGTTATTAATATAAATTCTTTTTATAACTAGAATTGCATCAAATGAAAAATGTTAATTTAATTTTAAAGTTAAACTTGCTGTCATTAATTTTGTCAATTTGGCATTTTGACAACTGGTCTCAGGTTTACGTCACAAGAACATGCGCGTTGACTTACCTTGTTTTGAATCTTGTCTAGTATTATGAAACACAACCTGAGACAAGTACTGGCACAGAATAATAAACAAACAGAATGCCCACTCTCCACGGAAAATTAAGTACGCGCATCTCCTTCGCGTAGATGTTCCGCCATGTTTTACGAGGATTTTAAAGGGAACCAGTGTTGTTTATGTGGTGTGCATGGAAAAAAACCAGGTTTATTTGACTTACGGCAATTATAGACATACTATACAATTATATTAACAGTTTTAAATATAATGACATAAATATAATATAATTAAACATAAATGTAAACAATTGCATAACCTCACAAATCATATGTTTGTGTCCTCCTAAAACATGGCGCGCGTGCTGAAAAACTTCAAAGGCGGCATCTGAGAGTGGCCCTTCTGATTGTTTATTATTCTGTGGTACTGGTAAAATGAACACAAGGAATGATATTCCGCATGACATTTGACAGCTGAGCAAGCGTGTGACGTAGTGAAGAACGCTCGAACCCATTATTTCTAATGATAGTTAACTAGTTTTTTGATATTGTATCAATTTAACGCGTTTTGTTTTCAGTTAAAGCATTACAGTCTCTGAAAAAGTACCTGTGGTGTTTAGTTTATTATACTGTATAGTAGTTTTTTTTTTGTAAAACTAAAACAACATAGTTTTAAAGAATTCTTGATTTACCACAGTTTTTATTCTATTGATGAGTATCTGTCTCATATATTGTATTATATATTTTATGTTTGACGAATATAACAATGTTGATATTTACATGAATAAATCTATCTATCTATACTTCATCTAATTTATACTTCATCTAATTTAGATAACGACTTACGTCATTATCTACGTCAGAGATCGAAGTTGACATAGTTGCCAAAGTATAAAAAAATCCTGACTCCATTTTAAATCAAATTGGTCACATAATTATTGCAAAAGTATTACCATCTCTTTACAACGACTATTTAAATTCTTACGTGACATTTTTGAAATAAAACACACTAATTTTGTTCTAAAAAGAACAGATTTTATTAAATAGGTAAAAATATAAAACAAGAGGTATTCACTTTAAAATTTAAAATAATAAAGTACAAAAAGTGTCAACACAGCAACTGTCAAATAAGTGTTACCAATTTATGCCAAAATTTTACCTTCGTTCGATTACAGTTACAGTGTGTTCCGAACAAGTGTTCTTGATAAAAACTCTTTATATTGGATTTATTCAAATTAAATGAAACATATTATTGTGTATTTCTTTAAGTTAACATTAATAGAAATTTTTAAATATTATTTCAACGCGTATATAATAAAATATGTCTAGTGGCTGTAGTGCCAGTGTACTCGGTAAAGTGATCCTAAAAAGAACACACCTAAACCCTAAATATTTCGTGTTGGTATCATATGACGTCACAGGCTATGACGCCGATGACGTGCATCGTTATATAAATTAGATGAAGTGTACTTACCGTTGCACGTCATTATCATTGACAGAGATCGAAGTTGACATATTTGCCAAAGTATAAAAAAATCCTGACTCCATTTTAATTCAAATAGGTCACATAATTATTGCAAAAGTATTACCATCTCTTTACAACGACTATTTAAATTCTTACGTGACATTTTTGAAATAAAACACTAATTTTGATCTAAGAAGAACAGATTTTATTAAATAGGTAAAAATATAAAACAAGAGGTATTCACTTTAAAATTCAAAATAATAAAGTACAAAGAGTGTCAACACCGCAACTGTCAAATAAGTGTTACCAATTTATGCCAAAATATCACCTTCGTTAGATTACAGTTACAGTGTGTTCCGACCAAATTTTCTTCATAAAAACGCTTTATAATGCATTTATACAAATTAAATGAAACATATTATTGTGTATTTTAAGTTAACATTAATAGAAATCTTTAAATATTATTTCTACGCGTATATAATAAAATATGTCTAGTGGCTGCACTGCCAGTGTACTCGGCAAAGTGATTCTAAATAAGAACACACCTACCGCCTAAATATTTCGTATCATGTGACCTCACGGACTATGATGCAGATGACGTGCAACGGTAAGTAAAATAGATGAACTATATCTACTTTTTAAATTTCCCACTTTGTTCCTATTAACATATAACAACACTATTAACTCTTCAGAGAACACCGAATGTCAAGATAAACAATAGTATACAGTATCTACCTCAAAAAACATCACTGCTTAGCATTTGGTAACAACATGGTAATCTTGGCTAGAAGGAAAATAAAGTGATGGAAACAGTCATGAAACTGAAGAGGGGGTAGCAATCAAGGAAATGTATATAAATAAAGCAAAAACGAAGTATATGGAATGCACAAATAAGAAATTCGTTCAGGGGCAGTATATAACAATGATAAGAGCAAAGGCAACACAATATAAATTCGAAGTAATTAAAAGATTTGAGTACTCAGGAAATGTCTTCCCATAGAACCTAACTGTGAGGGAGAAATACAGAAAATAATTATGTCTGGCAACCGCGCTGTCTATGCTGTCTAAGGCGAATATTGATATACGCTTCTGAAAAAGGGCCACAACAAACAAACACCAGGAGTTTTTATTAGTTTGGAAGCGCAAAATCTGATGGCAACTTCTTCTTCTTTAAGTTCCACTCCTATCGGAGATTGGAAATCATTCTGGCAATTATAATTTTGTTAGTTACGCGCCTGAATAGTTCAATTGAACTGCATCTAAACCATTCACGGATATTGCGTAGCCACGAGATTTTACGTCTTCCTACGCTTCTTCTACCTTTGATTTTACCCTGCATTATATTCCTTAGTAGTTCGTATTTTTCACCTCTCATGATGTGCCCCAAGTATTCCAATTTCCTGATTTTTATGGAACTTAAAACTTCGCATTGTTTTCCTAGTTGTTCGATAACTTGTTCGTTTGTTTTGCGATCCATCCATGATATTTTCAAAATACCTTTGTAACACCACATTTCGAATGCTGGTTTTTAATGTTGGATTTTTTAAGTGTCTAAGCTTCAACTCCATACAAAAGGGTAGAGAAAATATAACATCAAAGCATTCTTTTCTGGAGCGATATTTTCATATGGTGATTACAAAACAGTTTTCTCATTCTATTAAAAGTTGACCGTGCAATTTCAATCCGGCATCTTATTTCTTTTGTCTGATCAGTATCTTCTGTGATCCATGCTCCAAGGTATTTGTACGAAGATATTTGTTCAATTTCTGTATTATCTAGTATTTAATTATTATATACTATATTATTATATATTATATTATAACTATTTCGTTGATTAACTTATTTTGTCAAAATATTCATTTCGTTTGTCATTTACGATCTGTAAATGATCTTTTTATTTTACAAACTCCCCACGCTTGTTTATTTCTTTATACCATAACTTTTATCGTTCTCGTA